CGCCGCCGCCGGGTCCGCGTCGTCCCTCCCCGGGGGGCGCACCCCGCTCCCCGCCCGGCCGCGACGATGAAGGAGCTGTGCCGGATCTGCGGCCGGGAGCTGTGCGGGAACCAGCGGCGCTGGATCTTCCACACGGCGTCCAAGCTCAACCTCCAGGTCCTGCTGTCGCACGTCCTGGGTAAAGATGTCTGTCGCGACGGCCGAGCCGAGTTCGCTTGCAGTAAGTGCGCCTTCATGCTCGATCGCATCTACCGGTTCGACACGGTCATCGCGCGCATCGAAGCGCTCTCCATCGAGCGCCTGCAGAAGCTGCTGCTGGAGAAGGACCGCCTCAAGTTCTGCATCGCCAGTCTGTATCGGAAGAACAACGACGACGCCGGCGCCGAGCCCCGGGCGGCGGGCGGCGGGACGGTGGACATTTCCGGCTTGCCCGACGTGAGGTACTCGGCCCTGCTCCAGGAAGACTTCGCCTACTCCGGGTTCGAGTGCTGGGTGGAAAATGAAGATCATCAGCTCCAGGAGCCGCACAGCTGCCACGCTCCTTCCGAAGGCCCCGGAGCCCGACCCAGGAGATGCCGGGGCTGCGCGGCTCTGCGAGTGGCAGATGCTGACTACGAAGCCATTTGCAAGGTGCCGCGAAAAGTGGCCAGGAGTATCTCCTGCGGCCCCTCGAGCCGGTGGTCCACCAGCATCGGCACGGAAGATCCGGCCCTGTCCGAGGTCGGACCCCCCGATGCCGCCAGCGCGAAAGGACCCCCGGACGGAGAGAGCATGGAGGAAGGGACGCCGGCTTCCTCCGTGGAATCTCTGGATGCAAGCGTCCAGGCCAGCCCTCCCCGCCACAAGGACGACGAGGCCGAGAAGAGTGTCCGGGAGCTGGCCAAGTGTGACTGCTGCTGCGAGGAGCAGCATCTGTGTCACCCCAGACTGGAGCTGGCTCTCAGTATGATTAAAGGGCTTGATTACAAACCCATTCAGAGCCCCCGCGGGAGCAAGCTTCCCATTCCCGTGAAATCCAGCCCACCTGGAACCAAGCCCGGCCACGGCGGGACAGATGGAGTCAGTTCCGGTTTCCTGAACAGGTCTTTGAAACCCCTTTACAGGACACCTGTAAATTATCCCTTGGAGATTGCAGACCTGCAGGAGCTGTGGGATGATCTCTGTGAGGAGTATTTGCCACTTCGGGTCCAGGTATACAACCCGGCTGCGTGGGCCTGATTAGCTAGCTGGCCTCGGGTTTCACAGGATTTCTCTTTAGGTGAAAGTTAATAGTATTAACCCGAGAAAAACGACATCGTTGAACTCAACGTTGGCTGCACCTCTTGCTCTTTGGTTAATTTTTAAAAATGTCCTGTAGTAATTGTACAAAAGGGTTCCAACTCCACATTTCAGCTTGTGAGCACAATGCATCGGGGTCAAGTGTCACCACTCCCATCATTCTACCCCCATCTCTTCCAACTCCGAGTTACCTGGTTCCATCACCTTTTGCTTGTCCCATTTAGCAACTGTGATTTACACCTAGAATCTGCTTTTCCTAAAAAAAGAAAAGAAAATCTGCTTTTCCTCTTCGTGACATTACCCGTCGGCCTTCCCATGAATTATCAAAGTTGCTACATTTTAGGACAAAAAGGTGAAGATAATCAATTCATTTTTCTCCTATAGAAAGAAGACATTTAATTTCACTCTGGCAACAGAATCCTTTTTTTTTTTTCCTGATGTCCTTTCCGTCCCCCCCCCCACCCCCCATCTTAAGTTTCTTTTTAGATTTGTAGTTTTCTCCTTTTGGCTTTCTATAACTGAGTCAGTTTAATTTTCTGTGTGTGTGTGTGTTCATGCATGTGCATGCTGCATGTGTGTTGATATTGGGACTTAAACTCAGAGCCTCTTGCTTTTTTCCCTCAAGGATGGTACTCTACCACTTGAACCACCGCTCTACTTCCATCTTTTTGGTGGGTAATTGGAGATAATCTCATGGACCTGGCATCAGTGGCTCACACCTGTAATCTGAGCTATTCAGGAGGCTGAGCTCTGAGGATTATAGCTCAAAGCCAGTCCTGGTAGGAAAGTCCTTGAGACTTGTCTCCTATTAACCACCAAAAAGCTGGAAGTAGAGCTGTATAGAATGCTAGCCTTGAGCAAAAGTGCTCAGGGACAGTATTCCTGAGTTTGCCCCAGGACACAAAGTCTCACAGACTTTCCTTCCTGGCCTGTCTTTGAACCCTGATCTTCAGATCTCAGCCTCCTGAATAGCTTGGAATACAGATGTGAGCCACCAGTTTCCTACTGGAGTCAGTTGCTCCAGTTTCTCTCTGGAGAATTAAGACTTTCATCCCCAAATGCCTCAAAAATGATAGTATATAGTAAAGGTTTGGGGAAAACCTATTAATTCACCAGAAAAACAATGTAACATTTAGGTGATCTCTGTTATAATTAAGGGATCATTTGAAGATTAACAATGACTTTTTCAGAGATGACACTTGGGAATTCACATATTTTCACTCAAAATGTTGCAGCTTTTCTACTAAGTTCTACTAGAAGAAAAGTGAAGTTCAGGAAGAATTGGGTCCTCTTTTGACTTGAATGACTAAACAATGGCAGCTGGTCTTAATTTGAGCTATTCCTATCTACCCAGTTGAGTTCATACTACCTTTTGGAATTAAGCTGTATACAGGGACTTGACAGATTCTATTTTGTTTCTATAGGAACAGAGTAATAGATTTAGTTAATTTTGTGAAACACTGAAATGTGTTCAACTCCACAGATTCTTTAGTGGGACCAATGCAAAAGTAGTAGACAGTGTAGAAGCATTCTTGGAAAGCTGGTTAGTGGTCAACATAGTTCCAGAAATTTAGAGCTTGATAATAAATGAAATTGTTTATTGTTACATGTTAAATTGTATCACAGTAAGAAATTGACCAGAAAATGGAAGTTTTAAACTTGCATAAAATTACCAGGAACCAAATGTATGGATATGTTAGGAAGAAGTAAAAAGCCCAATGTTTTCACCTGTATGAAATATAGGTGTTGTCTGCCTAACATTTGTGTACATTTTCTGTTGCTTTATTTTTTCTTTTCTTTTTTTGTCGGTCACGGGGCCTGAACTCTGTGCCTGGATGCTGTCCCTCAGATCTTCAGCTCAAGGCTCTACCACTTGAGCCACACTGGCATTTCTGGCTTTTTCTGCTTATGTGGTGCTGAGGAATCGAACCCAGGGCCCCATACATGCCAGGCAAGCACTCTACCACTGAGCCACCTTCCAAGCCCTTTATTTTTTTTTATTTTTGTGGAATTTCACTGCTAAATATGGGTTTAACAATATTTCTGTGACCGGATAGAGCTGCTACAAATTAAACGTGGTATTCTCATGTTCTGATCTATAAGTAGACTAGGCATCAAGGATGGGAAATAAGTTGTTTCCCTCTCTTAAATATGAACAATATTGTAGAAAGATAAAGTCATAGAAAATCTGGCTAAAATGAGGAGTATTTTTCTCCATATTTAATGAAAATTATATAGAGCATTAGTATCTTCATTATTTTTTTTTTTTTTGGCGGTTGTGGGGCTTGAACTCTGGGCCTGGGCGCTGTCCCTCAGCTCTTCAGCTCAAGAGGAGCTCTCTACCACTTGAGCTACAGCACCACTTCCTAGTATCTTCATTATTATTGAACAGAAGTTTAGTGTGTGTATGGTGTGTGTACTGGGTTTAAACTCAGGCCTTCACCTTCTCACTTGCCTTTTTCGCTTCCCCTACCACTTGACCCACAGCTCCCTTCCCAGCTTTATGGTGGTTAATTAGAGTAAGAGTCTCACAAGCTGGAGGACTTAGGAAAGGCTGCCTGGGCTGACTTGGACTTCGATCCTCAGATCTGTTTTCTGAGTGGCTAGGATCATAGGTGTGAACTCCCAGCACCCAGCTTGGAATATTAAATCTTTGGTACCTGGATTTATCAATTTAGAGTTGGGAAGGATTTTAAAGGCCATCTCACACAGTTTCTCATAATTTAAATAACAGCCCATGCTGAGCAAAGATCCTGACTATCACATCCAAGACTTAAATTCTGTACATTAAATAGAACAGCTTAAGGATTTACTTTAAGCCAGGAGTCCTCTTCCAATGTGCTAAGGATTCCAGGAGGATTTGTTTTTTAGGGGAGTGTGAAGGAAATAGACTTCTGTATGAGTATGTATAAATTACAGTGCCTGTGTCTTCAGCCCATGTCCCTTTTATTTGGCAAACTTTGGATATTAGAACTTTAAAGTAGCAGGGTGTGAGCTTTCTGTTCTCACTTGGCTTGCTTTATAAGTAAAATACTGAGAGGAGAGAGAAAATAACCTTCAACTTCAAAACACATTGTATGCAGTTACTGTGCTGTTTTCTCTAATAATTAAAGATGTGGAGGAGATAGGTAAATTGAGCTGAAAGTATTTGTAAGTAAGATATGCACAGGATTTTATTCTGCACACTCGATCAATTGTTGAAGTCTGATTGACTTTTGACCTCCTTAAGAGCCGTTCTACTTTAGGGCAAAACCAGAGCTAAGTGGGACAAAGGCAGATGACAGGTTTTTGTCTTTCTCTGAACAAATGTGAATAGAATAGAAATAATCTCTCTCGCAGTTCTTTTTAGTTTGTATAAAGGAATGGGAAAAAATGCCATCCAGTTAAACTTTATAAATAGGAAGGAAACCCATTACTTAAATTTTTTCTTATGTTTTTATTATCTTTAAGTAGTTGTACAAAATAGTTTCCACTCAATAATGTTGTCATTTTGATTCATTTGCTTAAGGATTTCTCCATAATAATAATACATAATAGCATGTATTATTAAATATCAGTGTTTATATTCTTTCTAGTTTCCTTCCCCTTTCTCTTTTCCTCCCTCCTTTCTTTCCATTCCTTTCCTTTTTCCTTCCTTCTTTCCTTTCTTTTTCTTTTTCCTTTCCTTTCAAAATATTTTCCTGCCACAACAGTATATTTTCCTGTTTACTGATTTTCTGATATGCAAATAATTTATTGTCTCCATGAAATTTATGCCTGAAGGCTTTTTAGATACCTAAAGCAAGGTTTGAATGCATTATTCTATATAGGTTCTCTACTTCTAAGCCATACCGGAAGCTTTATTCTAGGTAGTCATTTTGTTCTTTATTGTCTGACTCGGTAATACAATACAAAAGCCATGACAGGCGGGGTGTGGTCCTTTGCAAATAGCAATTCTGAGAGCTCTTGTCCATGTGCAAGTTTCCTTTCTCAATTCAAAGAGCAGATAAATCTTTACCTCAAACCCTTAAGTGTCAAAGTCTGTTCATTTGTGACTATGGTAAATTAATACCATTCATAGCTTGGCTGGTTGAGTAGCCACTCTTTAGAAAATGGTATTAGATATTGATTAAAGATTAGATCTTTAATTGTATGTTAACTGATAGTTCTTTTATACCTCTTATTAGTAACAGTAGGGTAGAAAATTATAGTGGTTTGAAATCTGGGCTCTTATATGGATTAGAGAGTGCCAAGAAAAGAAATGCTGTTATCCCAAAAGATCTAAATAATTGCCTTTTAGCCTAAGAGACAAATTATGCAATATTCAGCCTGAAAGCAATCCTCTCTCTGATGTGGGACAGCATCTGTAGTAATTGAGTCAAAAGTGACTTCATTTAAAGCTACATTATCATTGTGACATGATCTTAGTAGCTATGAGTCAGGGGGATGACACTCGTTCTACTAAAGGATTGCTTACTTGGGGGCCTATAAAATCATAGGAGTGATTTATGTACTTGTTACTTCTTAAGAATTCATTATGAGCTGTTAAACTCAGTGGAGCTTACTAAGTGCTCTTTTGGCAGACTGTTCTCAGAGAAGACATTTTTTCTTAGATATAAAAAATAAGCTATTAATGAACAAATGAGAAACAAACATCTTCTAGCTTTTATCTCAGTGTATTACATGTATAGAATTAGAAGTATCTTATAATTACTCATGCTGAAATGGGTTGACATGAGATCCAGATTCATTATGTACTTTACTGTGGTATTCTTTGGCTTTAAAATTGTTATTCATATATATTTGTGCTTATATAAAAATGTATGTATGTATAAAGCATATATGTCTATATGCATATCCCTGTGCATACACACAGACATACATGATTCTATTTGTAAGGGAGCCATTAGATTGGGAACTAGGTGACTAGCTTCTATTTGTTTTTGTTTCTACTGGGATTGTAATCGGGGATTATAGATGTATGCCACCACACCCAGGATGTATTCAGTATTAGTGGACACTTTGCCTGATTCCCTTTGTAATTTTGGACAGATTCTGTAAGTTTCCATTCCTTTATATATAAAATGGAATTGGGTCAGTTGGTTAATTTTTAAATCTGGCAAAGATTTTTTGATTTAATGTGAATAACCACAATCCCCTTCCCTGCCATTTAATCTTCATGCTATTTTCTTTCATTTTGCTCATTATTGTTTACATTTCAGAATTATGGTTTTGTACAGTTTTTTTTTGGGGGGGGTGCTGTTACTGGGGCTTGAACTCAGCGCCTGGGCACATTGATACTTAGCTTTTTTGCTCAAGGCTAGTGCTCTACCACTTGAGCCACACCTCCACTTCTGGCTTTTTATTGGTTAATTTGGAGGTGAGAGTCCCAGGGATTTGTCTGCCTGCTTTGAATCTTGATCCTCAGATCTCAGGCTCCTGAGTAACTAGGATTACAGGTATGAACCAGCAGTATCAAGCTATTCTGTATCCTTAAAGTAAATGAAAACCATATCAGTTAGAGTTGAAAATACAAGTTTGTAACCTATGGTGTGACATAGTCAGGGGAAGGCTTCTGTTATACCCCCCACAGAGATCTCCAGTGATTTGTCTGGGAGCCTTGTTCTCTTTCCTTTCCTGCTGATTCCACATTTAGTGTGCCAGCAAGTCCTGCTACCTATATTTCAAAACATAGCCAGATCCATTCATTCATCTCCCCTCCAATATAATCAATATGATCAATAGGATTACAGTGATCCAAACCCCTATTAACTGTAACCTACTACAGCCACCTCCTAGCTGGTCTCTGCTTCCTGATACAGTGATTGTTGTTGGGTATAGTTCAGTAATTAATTTTATTCCGATCAGTTGTCCCTTGTATACATATTTTGTTTTTCTCTTGTCTTCTTAATGTCTCTTAAATGAGGTTTTTTTTTTTTTTTTTTGTCGGTCGTGGGGCTTGAACTCTGGGCCTGGGCGCTGTCCCTCAGCTCTTCAGCTCAAGGGGAGCGCTCTACCACTTGAGCTACAGTACCACTTCTGGTTTTCTGGTGGTTTATTGGAGATAGGAGTCTCACAGTCTTTCCTGCCCGGGCTGGCTTTGAACCGCAATCCTCAGATCTCAGTCTCCTGAGTAGCTAGGATTACAGGCGTGAGCCACCAGCGCCCAGCTTCTTAAATGAGTTTTAATTAAATATATCTTTCCCATACCACTGTGGATTATTTATCCAGGCAGGGGCTATATATTTATCTTTAAGTAGGCATATATGCATTTTTAAAATTTATTTTTATTTTCCTTCTGAAACCATTTCAAGTTCACAGAGACTTTAGAAGGAAATTCCTTCCCCAGATTACTGTTGATGCTCTGCTACACCAGCTTTATCTTCCTTCTGCCTGTGCAGACATATTGAGTGTGTGTGTGTGTTTGCACATGTGCGTGTGCATGTCCGCATATTGTTTTGTTTTGTACTGATACAGGGCTTGAAATTGGGGCCTGGCACTCTGCTTGGCTTACTTGCTCAAAGTTGACACTCTAGCACTTGAGAGAAAAAGCCAATCCAGAGTGTGAGTCCCTGAATTCAACCATAACACCAGCACACACACAAAAATCAAAGTCTATACCATTTACTTTACCTGAATCCCTGTGTTCTGTGCGTAGTGGGGGAGGGAGTGGGGAACATAGCAAGGAGAGAGGTGAATCACTGCTTTGAGCAAGGAACAGGACTCCTTCAAAATATACTGGTAATTCACACAATTCTGGTTTTCTAGATCTCTGGCAAAAAATGGCACCCTTGCACTTAAAAATGAAATTCATCATTGGCTGCATTTAACTCTGTTTACTTGTCTTGTTGCTTCCTAGTCTGTATCGGAAGACCTACTCAAACAACAGAAGCTGAATTCAAATGAGACTGTCATAACCCAGCAGACTGTGTGTGATTCCCACTTGGCAGAACTCCAGCATAAAATACAGCAAACAGAAGCCACCAACAAGGTATGAGCTGGGAATTCACAGGGTTTTCCTGAGCCTGTGACTGGCTCTAGCTTGGCTCTGAACTTGAGCAGGCTGTGGAGACCAATACTGTGAGCTCCTGATGCTCTGGGGGAACATTGCCTTTAAAAGTATAGTCCTTGCAGGTATCTCTGGTGTGAGCCTGTAATCCTAGCTGCTCAGGAGGCTGAGATCTGAGAGTCATGGTTCAAAGCCAGCCTGAGCAGAAAAAAATCCATGAGATCCTTTATCTCCAATTAATGACCAAAATGCCAGAAGTAGAAGCATGGTTCAAGTGGTAGAGTACCAGCCTTGAACAAAATAGCCAGGAAGAGCGCAAGACCCTCGAGTTTAAGCCCCAATACTGGCGCATGCATGTGAGCATTCACACACACACACATACACACACACACAAGTTATTATTGACCTAACAGAGTTTCTTTGCTGAATTCAGATCCTTCAAGAGAAGCTCAATGAAATGAGCTATGAGCTAAAGTCTGCTCAGGAGTCATCGCAAAAGCAAGATGGTACAATTCAAAGCCTCAAGGAAATGCTAAAAAGCAGAGAAAGTGAGGTAAAGTATTTAGTAGTGGTGATCTTACGAGGACACGATTTGGCCTACCACAGGAGACAAGTATTCTGCATGTTGTCATACTTTTGGAACAGTCTTCATCTTAAAATAAGAACAGGTGGGATAATGGAACTCCTGTTTCATTTCCTAACATGCTGGACACTCCTTATTTCCAGATTGAGGAGTTGTACCAGGTGATTGAAGGTCAAAATGACACAATGGCAAAGCTTCGGGAAATGCTGCACCAAAGCCAGCTTGGACAACTCCATGTATGTGAGGGTCACAGAGAAAGGGGGACAAGCTCCAGCTGGGGATGTGTGGGTTGAGTTCTTGTCCCAATGGGGGTCTCAGGCCCCTCAGGCAATCCACTGGCCTTCCTTGTGTGATCCTGATTTCTGCTCTTCCCAGAGCCAGGAAGGCATTACCCCAGCCCAGCAGCAGGTGGCGCTGCTTGATCTTCAGAGCGCGCTCTTCTGTAGCCAGCTTGAAATACAGAAGCTGCAGAGGGCGGTGCAACAGAAAGAACGCCAGCTGGCCAATTCCAAGCAACACATGCAGCTTGTGGAGGCGGCAGCCCAGGAGAGGGAAAGGCAGAAAGAAGCCTCTTGGAAACATAACCAGGTAAATCATTAACACCAACTGTTGTCCTTGTGGCTGACTTCGCCCTGCTAATAAATTTTTAGTCAGTTTGTGTTCAACATGAACCCTTGAGTCATCTGCTTAATCTAAATAATTCCATACAAAGTTTGTTGTGCTCCTGTTAATGGGCCACATCAGGACTGTCCTGTGGCTTGCATGTCTGGAACACCGTGGTGAATACCACCAGTCCCTTTCTGGTTACTGTGGAGGGGCCTGCCTGGCTCTTGTGGGGATAGCTGGGAAGGGCAGAGAAAGGGAGTCAGGAAGCTAAAGGAAGAACTAGCTGAGGTTCTCTGTAAGGATGGATGAAAGTAAACTGGATAGAAAATAGGGAAGATCCTTCAGGGCTTTTTGACACATGTTCAGTGCTGTGCATAGTTATGTGTGATTCATAATTGTTTAATGGCTCCTTTGCATTATTATATTAGAGCATGCATTACCTTTTCTCTATGCTTTTAGAGTCTAATGATCTTTTATTCTTCTGTCTTTTCCTAGGCTATACACTCATATTTAGAAGTGTACTTTTTGAAGAACATTCCTACTTTAGTAGCCTGCAAATTAATTGCTTCTGAATGTCCTTCAGAAATACTGAAATATTAGCAGGGGTTCATACCTGCAATCCTTGCTACTCAGGAGCCTGAGATCTGAGAATCAAAGTTCAAAGCCAGCCCAGACAGAAGAGTGGGTGAGACTCTTATCTTCAACTGACCAGCAAAAAGCCAAAAGTGGAGCTGTGGCTCAAGTGGTAGAGTGCCAGCCTTCAATGAAAAAGTCAAGTGAAAGCTCAAAGCCCTGAGTTTAAGCCCAAGTATGAACACACACACACACACACACACACACACACACACACACACACACACTAAGAAAAACATAGGATGGAAAGAAATAATTGAGGGGCATATATGATCAAAGTGTATTCTATCCATGTATGGGAATATCACAATGAAAACCCTTTGTCCAGCTGGTAAGTGCTAATAAAACCAGGAATAAGTGATAGGCTAAGCTTCATGTGTTCTTTAGAAAGGAGAAGGGTAGAACTGTGGATCCTATGGTAAAGTAAAGGGTATAAGTTTACTGTGGGACAGGGCCTGAGTAAATATTAAATTACAATTCACATGTGCTTCCTCCTCCTCCCAAAGTCTACACAGCTTTCCATACCTTATTTGACCTATGTGCTATATAATATTTCTTTTTTGTGTGTACCAGTACTGGTTTTTGAACTCAGGGCTTTGTGCTCTTACTTGGCATTTTTGCTCATGGCTGGTGCTGTACTACTTGAGCCACAGCTATACTTTTGTTGTTGTTGGCTGTGGGGTTGAACTCAGGGCCTAGGCTCTGTCCATGAGCTTTGATAAACTCAAGGCAAGTGCTCTACCACTTTGGGTCACAAACTACTTTTGCTTTTTTGGTGGTTAGTATGAGATAAGAGTCTCACTGATTTTTCTGCCCAGGCTGGCTTTGAACCTCAATTCTCAGATTTCAGCCTCCTGAGTAGCTAGGGTTATAGGCCTGAGCCACTGGTGCCCAGCCACAGCTACACTTTTGGCTTTTTGTTGGTTAATTGGAGACAAGAGTCAGATTTGTCTGCCTGTGCTGGCTTTGAACCATGATCCTCAGCTCTCCACTTTCTGAGCCATCAGCACCCAGCTATATATAATATTTCTGTATCAGTTTTAATAATGACACTTTCTGTCACTTTATATTTCATTATACTCCTTGAAAGGTTTGGTTTGTTTTGTTGCCAGGCTACCTTGAATTTATGATCCTCTTGTCTTAACCTCTCAGGTGACCAGGATTATATGCATGCGCCACTGTGCTCAGTTTACCTTGAAAGTTTTAAGGCATTTAATGGCCATCTGAAAGTTTTTGATTGCTTTCAAAAGGGAATATATTTATTTCAGGATTTGCGAAAAGCTTTGCAGCAGCTCCAAGGAGAATTGCAAACTAAGAGCCAACAGCTTCATACCTTGGAGGCTGAAAAATACCATGAGATTCGAACACAGGAGCAAACCATTCAGCATCTAAACCATAGTCTGAGTCACAAAGAGCAGCTGCTTCAGGTGAGTTGGCATGATTTTGGTGAGTTTCGGGTTTTTACAGTGGTGGTTCACATGGTCCCCAGGTCTTAATTAACTGTGTTGATTACCTGCTATATGTACAACATTTGTGTGCATGTGTGTGTGTGTGTGCATGCGCGTGTGTGCCAGTACTAAGACTTGAACTCAAGGCCTGGGTGCTATCTCTTAGATTTATATCTGACTAATGCTCTACCACTTCAGCGACTGATTCTTCTTCTCCTTCTTCTTCCTCTTCTTCCTCTTCTTCCTCTTCTTCCTCCTCCTCCTCTTCTTCTTCTTCTTCTCCTCCTCCTCCTCCTCCTCCCTCCTCCTCCTCCTCTTCCTCCTCCTCCTCTGCTGCTGCTGCTGCTGCTGCTGCTGCTGCTGCTGCTGCTGATTAATTAAAGATAAGAGTCTCATGGACTTTCTTGCCTGGGTTGGCTTTGGACCTCAATCATCAGATCTTAGCCTCCTTAGTAGCTAAGACTACAGGCGTGAGCCACCAGTAGGTTTACATTACAACATTAAATGGTAGAAATCAGGGAGATTTAAAACAAGCAGAAAATATAATCCATACTAGGTATAGTATCTCAGGCCTGTAATCCCAGCTACTTGGGTGGTAGACAGAAAGACTGAGATTCAACCTTGGCAAAGAGTTAGTAAGACCCTGTCTCAACAAACCAGCCAGGCATGGTGATTTACATATATAATCCTAGCTATGTGGGAGGTGTATGAAAGGTTCAAGGCCTGCCCAGGCAAAACATGATTCCCTATCTAAAAGTTAAACTAAAGCACAAAGGGCCTACGGATGTGGCTCAAGTGATAGCACACCTGCCTAGAAAGATTGAAACTTTGAGTTCCATGTCACACACACACACACACACACACACACAGTGAATGGAGATGAACTGGTAAGAAATAGCACATGTAGATCTAAAAGATTCATGCAGTATGAAGCAATTAGGCACCTTAGAATCAGGCACTGCTAGGTATTGGAAAACAAATCGATGTTAATTCAGTGAGAGAAGCTATCTAGATGAAACTTCCACAGTTAACTGATAGCACGAAAGTTTTAGGGGACTATGGGGGCACTAAGAAGAGGGATCAACTCAGCAAGTCACACAAATCCCTTCAATTTCCCTGAGAATGCAGTTTCCATTGGTATATATTTCAGCGCTGTAGACCTCTTTTGGGATGTCTTTACTGCCACCTTTAGGCAGAGTCAGGCAATGCACCCTGAGTTCCCCTAGTAGCAGCTGGCAGGCTTGCTAGCGTGTTTGTTGCAGAATTGCTGACAATTTGTATCTATTATCTCTGCTACACTTGTTCCCCCTGAGAAGAAGAATCAAGTTTGCTTTCATCCTGAATAACAAATTACTTGACAAAATGTAGAAGTTTAGTTAATTGTAGATACATGAATAAAGGTTTTTTGTTTTGTTTTGTTTTTTGGTCTCATTAGGAATACCAGGAGCTCTTACAGTATCGCGATAAGTCAGACAAAACCCTTGAAACAAATGAGCTGTTGCTTGAAAAGCTTCGGCAACGGATACAGGATAGAGCTATTGCTCTAGAGGTATGAGCCCTAATTTTTCTTATTCCACCATGGGTTTATTCTGTCTGCAAAAACGTTATAGAAATTTATGTCTGCTTTAATTTGCCACTTTGGTGTGTCAGTTTCCTATTCCTTCATACCTAGTAAGTCCGATTGGTGTAGTGAATCTCAAGATTTCAGTAGTCTTATTTTCCTTGCAGCGAGCTATAGATGAAAAATTCTCTGCTCTAGAAGAAAAAGACAAGGAACTCCGTCAGCTTCATCTTGCTGTGAGAGAGCGAGATCATGACTTAGAGAGGCTGCGTGGTATCCTCTCTTCCAACGAAGCTACCATGCAGGTAGGGGCAGACTCTGCCTTGGACCTGGCATCTCTCTCTCACTTGTGTCCTAAGTATGAAGGTTTGGCCCCTGCCATCATTATTCTGGAAATCTCAGTGTTTGCTTTAGAAGGAAAAAACCAAAAATATCATTCACTAGTTCCATCATTGTTTCATTATGAGATATTTTATCACTTCTGCTTTCTTTTTTATTATGAAATTTTTAGAGCATTGGTGGCTGACACCTGTAATCCTAACTACTCAGGAGGCTGCAATCTGAGGATCGTGGTTCAAAGCCAGCCTGGGCAGGAAAATCTGTGAGAGTCTTATCTGTAATTAACTTCCAAAAAGCTGGAAGGGGAGCTGTGGCTATCCTTGAGCAAAAATGCTAAGGCACACACCCAGGCCCTAAGTTCAAGCTGCAGTACCGACCTAAAAGTACATGAATGAATGAAGTAAAATAAAATTTGCAGAGGGAGACAATGACTATTCATTTCTATTTATATAGTTCTAATTTATTTAGAATTCTCAGCTATATAATACTAGAAATATACTTTTTCATAAGCATTTTCAGGATGTACCTATTATATTTTGTCCATTAATATTCTGTACATTTTCATGTATTGTCACAGTTAGAATGCTTGTCTATTTTCTTAGCATGTAATGTGAGCTTTTTCTTTTTTGCCTACTTATTTTAGCTGCTGATGGTTTTTTTTTTTTGAGTGGTTAAACTGGGATTTGAACTCAGGACTTGCCTGCTTGCTGGGCAGGTGCTCCACCAGGAGAGGCATGCCCCTAGCCCTGTGTACTTATTCTAGAACTTAGGTAGCTAAAGCACATCACTTTTGAAAGAAGACATTCACATTCCCCATTGAGAAAGTACTTTCTCCACATGCTTCATTTTAGCACAGGCTCTCCATTTACCTCTCCACGAACTACAGTTAAGTGTTCTAAAAACAACAATAGATTAGTCTGGAGCAGTTAGATTAGATACTGTATTTTTTCTACTTGCAAAAAAAGCTGATATGTGATCATTTAAAAGTAGATCTAATGTCTTGTATTCCAAAGAGGGTAGGGTGCCATCTTGGGCTAATACTTCTATCTCTCTCTGTAGAGTATGGAGAGTCTGCTGAGGGCCAAAGGCCTGGAAGTAGAACAGTTAACAGCTACCTGTCAGAACCTCCAGTGGCTGAAAGAAGAATTGGAAACCAAACTGAGCCACTGGCAGAAGGAACAAGAGAGTATTGTTCAGCAGTTGCAGACATCTCTGCATGACAGGAACAAAGAGGTTGAGGTAAGGCTTCAACTAACTTAGAAGTCACTTAGGGGCCATGCAGGCCCAGCCTGGATAAAGACCCTTGAGGTCTTGGTCATTGTCCCAAATCTTTATTACTATTTTTTCATATGGTGCCAGTAAGTGAGGTTTGAACCCAGGGCCTTGTGCTTTCCCCTGACTTTTCACTCAAGACTGGTGATCTACCTCTCAAGCCACATCTCCATTTCCACAGTCTCATGGACTTTGCTGCCATGGTTTGTTTTGAACTGGAATCTTCATATATCAGCCACCAGTTTATAATAGGTTCTTATACGCCCTTTATATCTTTATATATGCAATGGGAAGAGTGCTTCCCTCCAGAAACTGACTCTATTCCTTTCACATTAGGGTCTTAGTGCAACATTGCTCTGCAAGCTTGGCCCGGGGCAGAGTGAAATAGCTGAGGAGTTGTGCCAGCGTCTGCAGCGAAAGGAAAGGATGCTGCAGGACCTGCTGAGTGACCGCAGCAAACAAGCTGTGGAGCACGAGATGGAGATCCAAGGCCTGCTTCAATCTCTGAGCACTCGGGAGCAGGAGAGCCAAGTAAGGACTAGTGCCCGGATGGGAGCTATCCCAAGGTGCTTTGCAGCATGCATATGGGGAGCAGCTGAGCCTCATAGCACATGTATGTTTACCTGGTTTCTTATAGTCAGCTCAGTTTCTTTATTAACTACAGTTATGCATTCTTTTTTTGCTGGTACTGGGGCTTTAACTCAGGGCTTCGTGCTGTTGCTTGGCTTTTTCCCCCTTAAGGCTTTCTGTCACTCCACCACTTGGGCCACAGCTCTACTTGTAGTTTTTTGGTGGTTTATTGAAGATGAGAGTTTCACTGACTCTCCTGCCCAGGCTGGCTTCAAACTGTGATTCTCAGACCTTAGCTAGGATTACTGGTGCATGGAAACACAAATGATTATTCTTTGTTTTTGCTTTTGTGCTGGTTGTGGGACTTGAACTTAGGGCCTGGCTGCTGTCTCTCAGTTTTTATGCTAAAGGCTGGTACTGTATCACTTGAACCACAGCTCTACTTTGGGCTTTTTTGGTGGTTGATTAAAGATAAGTCTCATAGACTTTCCTGCCTGGGCTGGCTTTGAATCAGTATCCTCAGATCTCAGCCTCCTGAGTAGCTAGGATTACAGATGTGAGTCACCAGTGTTTGTCTACACACGATTTTTAATTCAACAAAAGTAGCAGTCATGTTCTTTGCAAGTTTTACATGCAAAAGATTCATATAATTAGCTTTTAAAAATATATGATTTTATGGTTATTAATAAGGTCTTGTACAGAGGGATTACCATTTCATAAATCAGGTAATGAGTACATTTTCTGTTTTGGGGTAGTGTCACTCCTTTCTTGTTTTCACTGAACTTCCTCCTCCTATCCCTGCCTACAGGTTACATAGTTCTTTTTCCACATAGTATATACTAAATGTCATGATTGTATTTGTTCACCTTTCCTTCTCCCCCTCCCCCTCCCAGTTTTTGGGACTCTTCTTTGCTCCCCCTTAAAACAAAGCCCCAAAGCAAAACCAAATAACACCACCAAAAACACCACCAGCAACAATAACAACAAAACCCCATGTTTCTCTTTCTTGCAATTCTATGCAATAGCTTTTTAAAAAACATAAGATTTCTGAGCTCACTGTGCTATACTTTGATCCTGTTATAAGACATCTTATAACAGTGTTTATATCCTTTACCCTCGAGATTGTTCTTTCAGATAGAATATGCAGGGGAAGCCAGTCTGATGAAGTAGCACTTAGCAAATCATTTCTTATGTTACTTCGTGATTTCTTCTTTGCTAGGCTGCCGCAGAGAAGATGGTACAAGCGCTGATGGAAAGAAATTCAGAACTACAGGCCTTGCGCCAGTACTTAGGAGGGAAAGACTTGACAATATCCCAGACTCCCATCGCTAACCAGCAAGTGGATGCTCCCTCCATCGGCCCCCATCTTGGAGAGCAGACTGATCAAGTAATAACTGTAGACTCTTGTAGATATTTGTGTTGACTGCATTTCCTTTTATAAAATAAGGCATTAGTTGGCTAGCAAGTTCTGTGAGTATATTCCATGTCCTGTCACTGTGATCTTAGTTCCCACATCTTCCTAAATCCCTAACCCTTCCAATTTTCAGGGTTCAATACAAATACCCTCCAGAGATGAGAGCACTTCATTAACTGCTAAAGAAGATGCCAGCATACCCAGATCTATATTAGGTAAGTATTTCCATTTTGTTTTCTGAACTTTGGATTTCCTGGAAGGCAGAAGACATGTCAATTCTAAGATCCATCCTCACCTGTTAGATAGAAACTCTTTCTCTAGGTTCACAGTTTGGCCTAAGGAAACTGCATGTTTATTCTCCTTTTCAGATAGCTTTGTGGGGATTCAAAGATGCCAGAGGTAGTGCTACCAGTGCGGGGCAGGACTATAGGGCAGACACTTGCTTCATTGTCTACACTGAAGTATTAGGAGGGATATGAACTGTAATTGAATTTTTGCTAAGCTCAGCCTTAATTATGGAGTGACTGTAGGGCTTGATTTTCTGAAAGAGAACCGAATTCCATTCATAGTACAAACAAAACTCAAGTGGAAAGTCTCTGACATTTACAGAGCAAAAGGTTGGTGTTTAGGGTTGTCTTAAGGAAAATATTTCCCAGGGAATTCCAGAGGCAGGAACTTGGGATGATTGATGAGGTGGTGATCCTATTAATACTACAACAGAAAGGTTACATGCCAGGTTCTGGGAATGTGGCTTAGTGCTAGAGTGCTTGCCTAGCATGCGTGAAGCCCTGGGTTCCATTCCTCAGTACCATATACACAGAAAAAGCTGGATGTGGTGCTGTGGCTCAAGTGGTAGAGTGCTAGCCTTGAGCACAGAGAGGTTCAGGGACAGTGCACAGGCTCTGAGTTCAAACCCTAGGACTGGCAAAAAAAAAAAAAAAAAAAAGGAAAAGAAAGCTGAGCTACAGGCCAGATCCTGAGTTCAAGCTCTGGTACCAATTAGAAAACAAAAGATACAACCCTATGATGTCAGCTACTCTGGAGGCGGAGGATCACAATTAAAAGCCAGCCTGGACTCATCTCCAATTAACTAGCAAAAAAGCCAGAAGTGGACTATGGCTCTAGTTGGTAGAATGCTAACCTTGAGCAAAAAAAGCTCAGGGACAGCTCACAGGCCCTGAGTTCAAGCCCCAGGACTAGCATGTGCACATACACAATACTCATTGAAACAGTTCAAAAATCAAGTTTATAAAAAGGTATACTTAGAGGTCCTATCTACTTTCCTTTCTCCCTTGTTTTTGTTCACGGTTACCCCCCCATGTGTTTTTTTTTTTTTGGCAAAAATAAGCAGATGAATCTAAGTGTGTGTGTATACATACATACATATATATATATATATATATATATATATATATGTAATATATTTCTCCTTTTCCTGTTTATGCCTTTTTTTATTTTACTTGTTTTATTTAGTGTATCCTTGAAATCACTCCATTCCATTTATGTTCCTCATTCTTTCCTATAGCTGTATAGAATCCATTGTGTGCTTGCATTGAGAGCTATCCCACTTTCTTTTTTTTTGGGGGGGGGTCCAGTCGTGGGGCCTGAACTCTGGGCCTGGGCACTGTCCCTCAGCTCTTCAGCTCAAGGCTAGCACTCTACCACTTGAGCCACAGTGCCACTTTCTGCTTTTTTTTTTCCTGCTTATGTGGTGCTGAGGAAGCGAACCCAGGGTCTCATGCATGAGGCAAGCATGCAAGGCAAGCACTCTTCCACTGAGCCACCTTCCCAGCCCAGCTGTCCCACTTTCCTTTAGAGCATGTAGGTTAATTGAAGCATTTTGCAATTATAAATAACGCTACAAAATAATGCCTGTGTACATATATGTACATACATGCATACATATATACATACATATATATATATATATATATATTCAGTGTTATGAGTTTCTCAGAATTGAGGCAGTGGAGATCCATCATTGTTAGTGATTAGAAGTGTGCATTTCTTTTAGGAGACTTGGACACAGTTACAGGGCTGGAGAAGGAACTGAGTAATGCCAAGGAGGAACTTGAACTCATGGCTAAAAAAGAGAGAGAGAGTCAGGTAAGTTTTCTCATCAAGATTCATTAGCTAATTGTGGTACGGTTTGGAAAAGCCTTTGCCTCCAGTTCAACTGGAAGTATGCCCCACACTGCTGTCTCCTCTCTGACCTCAGTATTTCTCTCCTTCACAGATGGAGCTTTCTGCTTTACAGTCGATGATGGCTGTACAGGAGGAAGAGCTGCAGGTGCAGGCTGCTGATCTGGAGTCCCTGACAAGGAACATTCAGATAAAAGAGGATCTCATAAAGGTCTCGTGAAACTGTGTGATGTCCACTGGAAGTGGGTGTGGCTCAGCATGCCTGGCAGGCATCTTTGAACGAAATATATGAATCTATGAGTCCCTTGGCCAGAGAACTCAGTGTTTCACTGGAACATAAAACAGACTGCGTTAAGGGCCTTTGTTCCCTTGAGCCTCTGTTAAATAGTCTCTTCATGTTATTTTTATCTCTTTACTTATTTTTATACTACTTCCAGGACCTGCAAATGCAACTAGTAGATCCTGAAGACATACCAGCTATGGAACGCCTCACCCAAGAAGTCTTAATTCTTCGGGAAAAGGTGGCTTCAGTAGAATCCCAGGGTCAAGAAATTTCAGGAAACCGAAGACAACAAGTGAGTTATGGGAATGTAAACTTTTTGTGTGTGGGTGTGCTTAACTTGAGGCTTAGGTGTTGTTCCTTTGCCTTTTCACTCAAGGCTGGCACTCTACCACTTGAGCCATACCTCTACTTCCATAAATGCTTTCTATTTTTACTTGGGGTAAGCAGTACAGGCACTGCCAGGTTCAACCTCTGGTGGAAAGGTCAGTGGATGACATTTTGTAGAAAATCTGTGCTCTGCAGTTTCTTCACACAGTCAGCAGCCATTGATGCCCCCCCTTTGGATGTTTGAAGTTATAAAAGGAGTTGCAGTTCTTTACAAATGCAATCTGTTGGGACCAGGAGTGTGGCTCAAGTGTTAGATCGCCTGCCTAGCAAGCATGAGGTCCTGAGTTCAATCCTCAGTACTACCAAAAAAAAAAAAAAACCCACCCTGAAACCCCACAAACACCACCTCATACAGAAGTCACCCCACAACGGAATCTTCTCATCTGCCCTCGTTTGGCCATATTCAGACCTCTCACAGTTACAAAGAAAAAGAGAAGCCAAGTTCTGGTGGCTCACACCTATAACCCTAGCTCCTCAGTAGGGTGAGATCATGGTTTGAAGTCAGCCCAGGCAGACAAATTTCAGAGACTTCTATCTCCAGCAAAAAAACTGGAAGTGAAGGCATGGCTCAAGGAGGTCACTAGCCGTGAGCAAAGTTGAGAGTGGGAGGAGGCCCTGAGTTCAAGCCTCAGGGCAAGCAGAATATTACTACTACTACTACTACTACTACTACTACTATTAATATTAATACTTTAAACCCAACTTTATGCCTCACTTGGTTGTTTGCATGTCATGACTTCTCCTTTCTTTCCTCAGTTGCTGCTCATGCTGGAAGGACTAGTAGATGAACGGAGTCGACTTAATGAGGCCTTACAGGCTGAGAGACAGCTCTATAGCAGTCTGGTGAAATTCCATGCCCATCCCGAGAAGTAAGAAAGACTATTGCTCTTTTGTTTTGCTGTTATTCTTCTTTCTTAAGTGTCATTGCTTATAGTACTACTTCATCATCAGCCTTAGTGTGTAAGCATTATGTCAGGGAACAGTGTGCATTTCCCAGTGGTTGCAAAGAGAAGGCAGCTGTACATCTAAAGAGATCATTCCTATCCTTTGTGTCCGTGTCCTGTTCAAGGCTGCAGAGGGCATTTATACTCAATATCACTGAGCATCATTGAAAAACAATATATTCATTCTGATGGCTGTGATCACCCCAGAATCACTAAACCATCATGATGAATATGTTTTCCTATACCTCAATTCTTTTTTTTAAATTAATTAATTTTATTTATTTTTGTCGGTCATGGGGCTTGAACTCTGGGCCTGGGCACTGTCCCTGTGCTCTTCAGCTCAAGGTGAGCGCTCTACCGCTTGAGCCACAGCGCCACTTCCTATCTCTTAATTCTTATACCTCTTAATTGATCGTGTGTGTTATATCTTTCTTGTTCATTTTATATTATACTTCCTTCATTTTTTTCGCATTTTGCTTTTCCTCTTCTGTTTTTCTCTCTCACACAATTTTTTTTTAACCTGTATTATTTGCTATCTTAGGGTTTTGGAAAGAAAAACTTTTCTTTCTACCTCAGAGAAATGAAAGTAGAGTAAAAATAGGATAGGACCACTTGCTTATGTTGCCTTTTAAAGAACCTCTGGATCATTATTCTTGGTGAACTAGATTTCTTTCCACAGTGTCATGCATTTGGGAAACACGAGAAAGCAGATTGCCTTCACTAGCAATCCTATCTGGCTCAGACTTGTTTTAGTTTACATTTAATTTTTCCTGGGCTTAAGTTTTTCAGGCACTAAAGTTTATCATCACATAATGAAACTGCTCTTTTGTTAGCTATAGAAGTATAAGGTCATCCAGGAGCTATAACTTTATGCATGATCAGCCCAGAATCTAGTATAAAGGGGCAAGCTTTAAAGAAAAGAGCAGAGCCTGGTAATCTATCAGCAATGAACACAAGTCTCAATGGAGAATGCATTCATTTGCTATGTCCTGGAAACAACTACTTCAGAAAAATCTCATGGCCCAGAGTGCTGCTGATGGCTCTTTGTATTCACATGTAGACACCTTACAGTTGATGGCTAACCTGTTTTCCTTCCGTATGGCATGTTCAATCAGCTCTGAGAGAGACCGAACTCTGCAGGTGGAACTGGAAGGGGCCCAGGTGTTACGTAGTCGACTAGAAGAAGTTCTTGGAAGAAGCCTGGAGCGTTTGAGCAGGCTGGAGACCCTGGCCGCCATTGGAGGTGGGGAACTGGAAAGTGTGCGAGTTCGTCCCAAGCATGCCTTCTGAGCACTGGCGGGTCAGACTGCTGCCCCGGATGGAAAGCCTTGTTTACACTAACCAGAATTAAATGGTGACTTACTAATGGTAGAACTGGTGCAAGTAACATCAACTTCAAATGAAGCTCACTTTAGCCTACCTGTATCTCACTGTGCATCTTTCTCTCTCTCTCTCTCTCAGTTGAGTGGTGGAGGTTGTAGTGTGTACTTTGCACATTTCAAATCATTCAGCTTTAGTTTTCCCATGCATATCAATTCTTTGCCCTAGCCTTTCCTCATCCCTCCATCCCTCCTATGGGCCAATAAAGTTTATCCCTCCCCCCATTCAGTCATATGTTCCATATCATGTCATAATTAATGCATGTGTGTGTATTATTTTTGCCATTCAATCAACTGCTCTTTGAGAGCCCTTCTTAATCAACTAAAAGAATAAAGAAAACATTTCAAGTTAAGAGAGAGAAAGATTGAGAATCTCTAAGAATGACTTTGCAAAAGTGATAGCCTTTTCTTAAGATAATCAAAACCGGGAGAGTACCAAGTTAAAGAGCTGGAGATAGATTATTAAGTGCTTTTCTATATTACTTCAGAACAGATGAAATTAGATTGGTGCACATTAAATTTCATTAATGTTTTTTTTCTTTTTTGATCCCTTGAACTCGGGCCTCACATTCTGTTTGGCTTTTTTCTTCAAGCCTGGTACTTTACCATTTGAGCCATAGTTCCACCTCTGGCTTTTTCCTGGCTAGTTGGAGATAAGAATCTCTCAGATTTTTCTGTCTGGGGCTGGCTTTGAACCTCAATCCTCAGAACTCAGCCTTGTAAGTAGGTAGGATTACTGGTGTGAATCACTAGTTTCCAACTTCCTTAGGTTTATTTAACCAAGATCATGCTATTTATCAGAACATGACTTCAAGAGAGGTCTTCCTCAGTCAGAATTCTCTATATATGAAGACAGTTTTCTATGTAATATTTTCCTTTAAAACAAGTGTTTTGTCAAATACTTCATATAGGCAGAGAAGAGTATTCCCAGTAGTGGGACTTAAACTCAGCGTTACCCTCTCATTTGGCTTACTTCACTCAAGGATGGTGCTCTACCACTTGAGCCACAGTTCCATGTCTGGCTTTTTGCTGGTTAGTTGGAGAAAAGAATCTGTCAGATTTGTCTGCCTGGGCTGGCTTCCAATGGTATCTCAGTAGGTATGCCCCTACAACTTGTGTATTTCTATTTTGTGGTGGTACAAAGTGAAGTCCTTTATTTTCCATTAGTGTGGATGCATTCTTTCATGTGAAAATATGTCATAGGCCTTAGGCTTTTAAGTACTTGAATAGTTTAGAATATAATTCACTGATCTGTATCCATTCCAGCCATGGCTAAGTTTAGAAAGGACATTGGGGAGCAGATTTTTGATATCTTCAATGTTAAGCGGATGAAAAGTAACCAAGATTTTCTAGGTTCAGCATCATGAGATTGTTATTTCTGTGGATAATAAGTTCCCTAGATTAGAAACTAAGATTTCAGTTACTTTAGACATGGTGTTAAGGAAACTAGTATTCTAGCTTTCTAGCATGGAGTGTGGGGTGGGGGAGGAAGGATGGGGGGAATAATAACTTTTCTTTTTGCTTCTGTTTTTTGCATGATACCTGGTTTCTTCACATTCAGGTATTGACATGTCTTATATCAAATTCTAAACAGGTTTATTAGCTATAGCCATGTCTATAATAGAATCTCCACTAAACTACTGGATAGGGAGAAAATATTCTATTGGAAAAATACCCCAGAATAATCGTATTAAGTAATTTTCGGGGACTGATAGCCAAAAGCCCTTTGATGCTTTATACCATTCCAGTCTTTTTTTTTCTTTTTCATGTGGTACTAAGGATTGAACCCAGGGCTACCATTTGAGTCACAGCTTCCCAGCTCTTTTGACTTTGTTTTTTGAGATAGCGTCTCACATTTTTCCCAAACTGGGCTCAGTCTTGTGATCTTCCAGCCTCTGCCTCTCTAGTAACTGGAATTATAGGCTTGAGCTACCGTACCCAGCTCCATTCAACTTCTAATAGTGTTTAGGAGGGGACAAAGGAGTAACACAAGGGAGAAATGATAGGAAGTGAACTATCTTAGTCTTTTTATTTTAGAGAGACCTTTTCCTGTGCAAAACTTAACTTCTCCCAAGTAGAGTTAAGGAAACTGATGAAATTGAGCTGTAGAAATGTCAGCCCATCAAACACTAGTCTGTTGTAGCAGGGCATTTAGGAAATGCCTTTCTTTAATTTTACTAATAGACCAAGGAAACTTTCTTAAAGTCTTCTGTTAAGTGTGACTATTAAATCATTCTTGAGTTCTAGTGATTATAGTATTTTGCATTATTAATTACTGCTTCTGACAATGTATAATAGGAGTAGATTGATGGAAGGATAAATTAAGAATGCTATCATAAATGTGGCTAAAATCGGGTACTAATTTTCTGGTCTTTTGTGTGTGTATGTTTATGTGTCAGTGTGCCAATACTGGGGTTTGAACTCCGGGCCTCATGCTCTCCTTTGACTTCTTTACTCAGAGCTGGTAATCTACCACTTGAGCCATACCTCCACATGTGGCTTTTTGCTAGTTAATTGGAGGTAAGAGTCTCTTGGACTCTTTGCCAGGGATGGCATTGAACTGGGATCCTCAGATCTCAGCCTTCTGAATAGCTAGGCTTACAGGTGAGAGCCTCTGGCACCCAGCAAGAATCAAAGAAACCTTAACCTGAATAGGATCCAAGCCACAAGAAGTATTTTCTCAGAAGGTTCTTTAGTACGTTCAGCTCACATGTTTATACATGAGTGACCTCTGTGAAAGATAATGCATGAAAGCTCTGTTTGTATGTTTGTATTCATCATCTAGCACAGAGGTGGGAATGTTATTTTCTGCAAAGGGCCATTTGGTCATTTATAAATCATTTGAAGGTCATACAGAGTTAGCAATACAGGTAGGACACAGGCAGCCAAGGAGAAGCACACATGTCTATCCCATCATTTATCAAATAATTTTGTAGCCTTGTATAGCCTGCAGGCTGGGCGGTCTCCACTCCTGATTTACTATGTAGGAAGTTGGGCTCATTGCTTCAAAACTTCAAGGGGTTGATTTGAACTCTCTCTGCTTTGACCCTTGAGTTGGATCTGGAATCTTCTGATTAGTGAAAGGAACAGTTCACAGTGCAGCAAAAATTGTTCCTTCTTTGAGTTTCCTTGAGCTGTCTTATAACAACTCTAGTCTTCTTGTTTTCCTTGAGCTAGTGTTAGAAAACCCTTATTTCCCATTGTTTGGATAAAATCATTGGTTTCTGATTTCATGGAATTTTATATGAAGTCATAGAATCTTTGCCTATAAAATTGTGGGAAAAATATTGTGGAAAAACTCAAGTTGTCTCTTCCATAGGATCCTGGGTTGTATTTGGCAGGTTCATCGCTAATGTCTTCCAGGCAAACTTGACAAACTCCCTATGAAATTAGGAAAAAATTATTAGTTACACACTTAAAGTCTGTGAGTCTTAGTGTTTTTTTGGAGTATGGATTTAAACAACTCCCTTATCATTTGTAGAGATAGCTAGATTAAGACATGATTTTTATGTAGTCTGAGTGTTTACAGAAGGTAAGTTCTCAATTTTTTTCCTGTGTAAGCACATGAGTCAGGATGAATTTTCTGAACAAAAATTGGCATTATTTGCTTCCAACAGAGAGGGGATTTTGGAAGGGAAAGACAAAACCATAGAACTGAAAGGACTAATTTTGCCCAATTTTAAATAAGAATAAGGTTATAAAGTAATGTACTTGTTATTTTTGTATGATTTCCTTTGTTGTTGTTGTTATTGTTGTTGTTATTTGAGGTCAAATTCCAGAAATAAAAACCTTTATTAGTATACTGTCTTCCTCTTGCTACAGTTGGAAGGATAAAATATAAAGTTCAGCAATATCAGAACATGACTTGTCTACAGAATACAAGGAGTCAGATTGCTAGGTACATGAACCAACTTAGCTTTCTTATTTCCCAGAAGAACTTCTACTAGGGTAGCAAATCCTTGTAGCTTTGCTCTTAATATAGAGCATGGATGTACAGTGTTGCTTTCCCCCCCCTTTGTTCTTATGCCAGAACTGGAGCTTGAATTTAGGGCCTTGTGTTCTTGCTTGGCTTTTTCCACTGAAGTCACCAATTTTTTTTCTGGTTAATTGGAGATATGAATCTCAGATTTGTCTGCCTAGCTTTGAACTGGGATCCTCAGCTCTCAGCTTCCTGAGTAGCTGGGATTACAGGTGTGAGCCATCAGTGCCTGGCATAGTGCTGCTAAAAAAAAAAAAAAAGCCCTAAAGTAGGGACTTTTCAATCTATGAACTTTAGAGAACATGTATACATGCAAGTATGTTTTATAAATCATGAATTTCTATGTGCATGAAATACGATTCCTTTGATAATAAAAATGGATTTAAGCTGGGCACCAGTGGCTCACACCTGTAATCCTAGCTACTTAGGAGGCTGAGATCTGAGGATCCTGGTTCAAAGCCAGCCCAAGCAGGAAAGTCTGTGAGACTCTTATTTCCAATTAACCACCAGAGAACCAGAAGTGGCATTGTGGCACAAGTGGTAGAGCACTCGTCTTGAGCTGAAGAGCTGAGGGACAGCACCCAGGTCCAGAGTTCAAGCCCCACAATTGACCAAAAAAAAAAAAAAAGGATTTACTCACTTTTATCACTTAAAATTCGGTGGGCTGTTGGGAAAAAGTGATTTATGACAACTTGAGATGAAGAAAGAAGCAACAGTAAATGGCCAGAGAGCTGGCATTAAATTATTTTCAGGACTTTACACCAATAAGCTGTATCATTCCCCTAAAGTTTATTATTTTTTTATAGAACTGTGCCATGAAACTGTTAATATTTGTCCTGAAGTGAGGAGTATGCTTTTTGATATGTAACTTAGAATTTCAGCTACTTTGATTAAGACACAAAAGAATTGTTACTGATCTAATAAAAGTATCAAAGGCTAACCAAACTATTTGGTTTCATTCTTAAAAAATTGCAAAGAAATAGAGAAAGCTCATACCTTCTTTTTCTTTTCCTTTATAGGAAAATCAATCTATTGATCATTATACTAAAATTTCAAGTCAGAGTCAGTATCTGTGGAATAAGCAGTTACTTAACTAAAGGAAGGAAGAAGCAGCCTGAATTTTACTCCTCACAAAAGAGGCAAACAGCATTGTACTTTCCAGAGAAAAATTGACAGGGGCCATTTTTTCCTTAAAATCCTTTCTTGTTCTCTGCTGAAGGAGAGTGGTAGAAAAGAATTGAGCATCACTTGCTATGGTGGGTGCTCCGTCCTTTGAATGTTCCCACAAAAGCCCCTCACTTCTTTTTCAGCAAGAGACCCTAAGCAAAGAGTCTTTGCCATTACAGAACAATCACACCTGTGGCATATTTTCTATCTCCCAGGACAATCTGAATTTATACATCCTGCTCAGTTTGAAAATAGGCGATTCAGTTATTAAATAACCACTCTTTTTTGAAAGTAGGAACTCAAAACATCTATTGAAGCCAGGTGCCAGTGTCTTAGCCTATAATCCTAGTTACTTAGGAGGCTGAGATCTGAAGAGATCATGGTTCTAACCCAGCCCATGCAGAAAAGTCTGTGAGACTTATCTCCAATTAACCAGCTAAAAGCTAGAACTGGAGGTGTAGCTTAAGTGGTAGAATGTCAGCCTTGAGTGGAACATGCCATGGGGCAGCACCTAGACCCTGAGTTCAATCCCTAGTACCAGCACACACACACACACACATGCACACGCACGAGCGCACACACACACACACACTAGTAACATAAGACTACTATGTTCTAAGTGACTGTGGGGAAAATATTAGTTCTTTCCTCTTGTTTTCGTCAAGATGGCATAATGGACAAGTAATAATGACTGTAGAAAATAACTCCTACCTCACTCAATTTTGGCTCATTATTAGTAATTAGTATTTTTTAAATGATACTTCATAGATTTTTTCCTTATAAAGCTTATTCAGGGGTATGGAGTTGTTAGGTGAAGTTATAATTGAATGATCATGAATCCTGTTCTATGGTACTTTTTCAGAAGACCAGGGGCTACCGGCAGCCGTATGCTTTTCCAGTTGTCCTAAAACTCAGGAAGAGCAAAATGCACTATTTCAAGCCTCTTGCTGAGGTAAACGGGTTCAGGAGTGAGCCCCAATGTGACAGGTAGAATCTATCAGATCGTCCAGTAATTAACATCAGGTCTCCATCTGCCCCTGTTGACTGCATTTGGTGTCTGTGGCCTTGAGCTTTGTCAGCCTCCAATGTTCAGCACAAGGACTGCTTTAGTTCATCCCCAGCGGTAACAGGAAGACGGTGATATTGCTCAAGGCTAAGACTTAAGGAGAACACTGCACCCAGCCGTGTTCCAAGTACTTCAAAATCAGCAAAGCCTTTGACCTTCAAAACTGCATGGAGCGGATAACACCCTGATAACATTACAAATTCTAATAAATGAGGACTCTGAGTTGCAGAAAGGTCATGGCATGCCTGAAGTCACATACCCAGTGCTAAAGCAGAATTCAAATGGGTAATAGGACTGCAGAGCCTAGGTTCTTAATCATTATGCCATCTTTAGTATTCGTACAGAGAAGCCAGGTGCTGGTGGCTTATGTCTGTAATCCTAGCAACTCAACAAGGATCCCAGCTCGAAGCTAGCCCAGGCAGAAAAGTCAGTGAGACGCTTATCTTCAGTTATGCAACAAAAAGCTGGAAGTGGGTATGTGGCTTCAGTGGAAGAGCACCAGCCTGGAGGGAAAAAATGTTACAGAGCAGCACCCAGGCCCTAATCTGAAGCCCCAGTACTGGCACAAAAAGGAAAAAAGTAGAAGGGGGGGGGAAGGAAAACCCCAGTGTAGCAGAGTTGGAACAGATGGGCATCCTTCAATCGTTTCTGTTTAATTCCTAATGAACTTAGAGACAAGGTAGCCTGACTCAGTAAATTAAAGGTGGAATGTCACATAGGAAAGCAATGTGGCTCAGAAAGGCCCACAAAGAAAGGTAAGTGGAGGTCATTGGGCGCCAGAAGCTCACTCCTGTAACCCTAGCTACTCAGGAGGCTGAGATCAAAGTCAGTCCAGGCAGAAAAGTCCATGAGACTCCAATTAACCAGCAAAAAGCCAGAAGTGGAGTTGTGGCTCAAGTGGTAGAGAGCTAGCCTTGAACAAAAAAAGCTCAGAGACAGCGCCCAGACCCTGAATTCAAGCCCCAGCACCAAAAAAGAAAAGGTAAGTAACAATCCTGCCTGGAACCTAGCATAGGCTTAAGTGTGAGCTACACAGCCCACGGAGAATGATCTAGAGATAAGCATTTAACGGCAGTGTTGAGCTCTCTCTACCCACAGACATATTCTATAGCCCCCATGTCCCAAAAGAAAATGATATGACAAGTGTTTTCTTAGGCTCATTTTCTTTGCAGGAAAAAAAAATCAAAGGTTATGATGTTTGCTGTTGTAATGGGAAAGATTTTTTCAAAGCAAGCAAAAGATATGGATGTTGTCAGGGGAGTTAGCATACTAGCTTCAGAGTTTGCAAAGCAGCCAGAGCTTAAGAAATACATGAACCCTCCTTCGCAAGGTCTTGCATGGGATCCTGCATTGGTCTGAAGTTAGTACAGCCTTCAAGGGAAGATAGGAGAACTTCAGCTGTCGTGGCTGCATGCTCCCTACTTCCTGCTGCTGAGATCAGACCAGAGCCCCTGCAGACCCTCTGGCATGAGCTTGAAGATGCCAAGAGATGGAATGCAGACCTGAGCTGTCCCCATTCTGCTCATCAGTAGCATGAGGAACAACAGCCTTGCCTGGAAGAGGTGACAGGAACACTGGCAGCAAATGCTTCCTATCTGTGGAGAGACTCAGGCACCTGAGCAGACGCAGGTTCTTTGGTGTTGGAAGAAGATCGCAGTCTGAGCTGTAATGAGCAGGAGCTGAATGGCCCCTACGAGTCCACATGCTAGACTTCCTGACACACGATACAGCTCGTGGCAGGACCGCTGTGCAGCCTTTCCCTTCGCTTTCCAAACCTTTTGGAGGCCCAGGATATCCAGAGGTCAGGAGAGGGATTTGAACTGTCATTGCTGAGGGCAGGATCAGAAGTAGAGCTTGAGACTGTCTGACTTGGGCAGGCTCTGTAAGCTCCAGCATGTGTCACAGTGCACAATCCTTGTGTATGCTGTGGAGGAAAAACAAAACACCGGTAATGTGGGTTACAGTGCTTGATCTAGAATCATATGGATTGGCTTTTATTCTAACCAAGTTAAAAAGGAAATATCCTCTATTTTTGTGTAATATATTAGCCCCTAACCAAATGTGACTCAATATACACAGATTTCAATAAGGTAAAAATAAGCAAATTCATTTCCTCAGTCATACTAGCCATATTTCAAAGGCATAATAGAGCCACGAATGGCAGGGATTTGGACAGTGCAGCCACAACACTGCTATCATCAAAGACAGTTCTATAACCAGGCACTGGTGGCTCATGCTTATAATCCTAGCTGCTCAGGAGACTAAGGTCTGAGGGTTAAGATTCAAAGCCAGCCTGGGCAGGAAAGTCTGTGAAACTCTTTATCTCTAATTAACCACCAAAAAAGCCAGATTAGAATTGTGGCTCAAGTGGTAGAGTACCAGCCTTAAGCAAAAAGCTAAGCCCAGGCCCTGAGTTCAAGCCCCACTGCTAGTACACACAAAGTCTCTTAGCCATCCCTGCCCTACACCTTTGCCCAAATGCTAAGGGCATCTACTTGTTCCTTAGAGCAGATGGTACAGGTCAAGACTCTGGGGTGACTGCATCCTCCTTTGGGGAATGACAGAATGGATTAAACCTTGTTTGTACAAAGCAATTCAAGAAACTCTGCAGGCAAAGGATGCTGGCACTAAGCAGAGTTTGAGAGATGGAGAGGAGAGAAGGTTATAGGAAAGAATTAGGATACCATGGAACCATTCTGTGCCTCAGATCCTGACCAGACCTTAACTTCTTTCTATAACACACAGGCCTCCCAGAGAAGAGATTCTCAGATATACTGCCTCTGTATAGTGAGAGCTAAAGAGATGCCCAGTCACTAGAAATAGAGACTAAAGAAAGGTTTGTTAAGAAGAGAAAGTTGTGCCAGGACCAGTATCTCGCAACTGTGAGCCTACTACTCAGGAGGCTGAGTTCTGAAGATCATGGTTCCAAGCCAGCCTGAGCAGGAAAGTCTGTGAGACTCTTATCTCCAATTAACCACTAAAATACCAGGAACAGAACTATGGCTTACATGGTAGAGCGGCAATCCTGAGTGAAAAAGCTAAGGGACAGTGCTTGGGCCCTGAGTTCAAGCCCCAGTTTTGGGGCGCGCACGCACGCGTGCGCACACACACACACACACATGAAAATTGTTACATGACCAGGATAAGGGGATAATTTTGGCTATGTTGAAGTAGGTGAGAGAAAGCCAGGCATTGGTGGCTCACATCTGTAATCCTAACTGGTCAGGAGACTGCGATTTAAGGATAAAGGTTTGAAGCCAGACAAAGCAGATAGAGACTGGGCAAAAAGCCCAAAATAGAGGTGTGGCTCAGATGTCTGAGTGCCAGCCTTGAGCAACAAAAGCCAAGCAAGAGCATGAGGCCCTAAGTTCAAGGTCCAGTACTGGCACACACAGGAGCATCCCCTTGGATGGTTTGTGAGGTGTGGGTGTGGCTTGTTGTGTGGATGTTTGCCTTCAGAACCAGCTCGTTTTGAGTGTTAGGAAGGAAGTACCACTGGTGCAGGGGCCATGCATGCAAGGAAAGAGAAATCAGAGGAGGACGGCACAGGGTCATTTTCCCTGCTGCTGCTGGAAGCCATCAGGGAAGGGAATCACCTTTCTCTTGTGGCCTTGCTTGCAGGAGCAGCTGCAGGGGATGACACGGAGGATGCCAGCACTGAGTTCACGGACAGTATCGAGGAGGAAGCTGCCCACAACAGCCACCAGCAAGTAAGTCCGGGTCAGTTCCCGGGGCTGCTAGGGTGAAAGGCACACAGCCTCCCGGGGTCTGAGGGTCACCTGTGGCCTTGGTGCATCTGCCTCGAGAAGACATCTTTTCTAGAAACCACTTCCCAGTCTGCTTCCCTTCCTCTCTGAGCTCCGCAAACATATGCACACCCTTTTTCTCTGTCCACTTCCCCCCCTCTTTGGTTTTGTTTGTTTGTTTATTTATTTATTTGGGTGCTGGTTCTTACTGGGGCGTGAGCTTGGGGCCAGGCACTTTCCCTTAGCTTTATAAGTGCTCAAAGCTGGCACTTTACCAATTGAGCCACCCCTCCATTTCTGGTTTTTCTTGAGATGAGAGGTTTACAGACTTTCCTGCTGGGATCCTCAAATCTCAGCTTCCTGAGTAGCTGGGATTATAGAGGTGAGCCACCATGCCCAGTCACTCCACTCTTTTGTTCTAGCTACTTCAGTGACTGTAGCTGTAGCTTCAGAAGATTTTTTTAAATCATAAGGCAATGGATTTGTCCCCTCTTGGGCTTTGATAACTGAAACATATCACATAAGACATAGAGACACCAAAAGAGCATGGGGGAAGGTGGCAGGGCCTGGGACCTGCGCGAACAGTACTCACTGAGAAACTCCAAAGCATCGGAACTGTTAAATCTCATGAAACAGAAGAGCATTTTGCTGTGCAAACACCCCATATCATCATAAAGTTCGTGACCAGCTGGTGGCACTTCAACAGCAAACTGCTACCTTGAGCATCAGAATTTTGGTATCCAAGGCCCAAACGCTTCATGTTTGCCATGGAAGAAGCTGTAACACACCCCTTCTCAAACCCAGGAATGGATGTCCTGGACTTCAGAGATTATGTCACCAACAGTGATCCTACTGCATCCATTGACACACTTACATGTCTCCCCAGGGCCAGTGACATTTAACAAACACGTCCCCTAAAGGGACCATGTCGGTGACTCTTCTTAAGTTTTGCGGATTTTGTTGGTTTTCATTTTCATGCTGGTACTGAGGCTTGAACTCTGGGCCTGGACACTTTAACCCATCACGTTTTCACTCCAGCTTTATGTTCCACTACTTGAGCCACAGCTCCACTTCTGGCCTTGGTGGTTCATTGGAGATGAGTCTCACAAATTTTCTCATTGGGTTGGCTCAAGATCCTCAAGATCCTCAGATCTCAGCTTCGTGAGGAGCTTGGATTACAAGCACAAACCACCAGCACCCTGTTTAAGTTTTTACAAAGAAAGTGAGTTACTAGGAGAGATCTGTGAAGTCAGCTGTGCACATCCAGTGAAGGCCATGTGTTTTTATTCTGTTAGAAACATGGTGGGGAAAATGATATCCGTAAGTCTACTCTTACATCTCCTGCATAAGAAAAAGAGAAGACGTCCATGTACCTAGTAAGATCCCCAGTAAGTAGTCCCCAGATCCTGTAAGATTTGGATCAGTCTTAGGTTCTTGAAGACAAGAGTTGTCTGGTACGCCTCTAGTCCTTGAGTTGTATTTTGTTTTTTGTTTTTAATAATGTGTGCTGGAACTGGGGCTTGAACTCATGGCCTGACACTATCACTTAGCTTTTGTGCTCAAGGCTAGCTCTCAAGCATTTAAACCACACCTCTACTTTCCACTTTTTGCTGGTTTATTGGAGATAAGAATCTCATGGACTTTTCTTCCCAAGCTGGCTTCGAACCTCAGTCCTCAGATCTCAGCTTCCTGAGTAGCTAGAATTACAGATATGAGTCACCATACCTGACTCCTTCAGACTTCCTTTACTTTTCTGTTGCGCTGGCCCTCACTAATCTTCTCCCTTGAGTTTTGGCATCAGCTCTGCTTCTCCTTTGGCTTGAACAGCTTCCTCTGAGTCCTCTCGCTGATGCTTGTGACTTTATGTGCGCAGATGCCTTCGCCCTCACTCCCTGATATCACAGAGGATCCTGGGTAAGAGGGCGGAGTCTACAAGATGAACACCTGTTCACTCTAACCATGCAAACTGTCAGCTGCTCCCTAATGGGTATAACTGTGGACAAGAGTAACTTCAGGATAAACAAATAGGAGACACAGATATGAGGACAAGCAGATTCTGACTGACATTGTCCAAACTAGTTCTGGTAGTATAAATCCTATAGATAATTTTTACTATTACTTTTTTTAGGCAATTGTGGGGCTTGAACTCTGGGCCTGAGTGCTGTCCTTGAGTTCTTCAGCTCAAGGCTAGTGCTCTACCACTTGAACCACAGTGCCACTTCCAGTTTTCTGGTGGCTTATTGGAGATAAGAGTCTCATGAGCTTTCCTGCCCAAGCTGGCTTTGAACTGAGATCCTGATTTCAGCCTCCTGTGTAGTTAGGATTACAGATGTGAGCCACTGGCACTTGGCTTTTAATTAATTTTTGTGTGTTAGCTGGCACTGGGGCTTGAACTAAGAGCCTGGGCACTATCCTTGAACTTTTTTTTTTTTTTGCTCCAAGCAAATGCTCTACCACTTGAGCCACAGCTCCACTTCCAGCTATTGCTGGTTAATTGGAAATAAGAGTTTCATAGACTTCCCTGTCCAGGCTGGCTTTGAACTGTAATCCCCAGATCTGAGCCTCCTGAGTAGCTAGGATGACAGGCATGAGCCATTGTGCCCAACAATTAACTGGTTTTTAAAGTAATTTCTTCCTTAGTTTCCTTTTCTGTAACCTAGCATCAAGAATATGATCCAACCCTGTTTTGAGGTAATTCACACTCTGGAATAAGTGTTTGCCATATGACTTGGCAGGAGAGACAATTATAGCATAAACTTTGGGTTAGGGCTTTGCTTCTGGTAGACAAAGTATAGACCTAGTGGATGAAGACTCTCTTGGGTAAGCATGGTTTTTCTTTCTAACTTCTTTCCTTGAAAATTAGTCTCCAGCTTTGTGCAGGAAGGACCTGGGTGTGTGAAGTCACTGTAAGTTCACTACTTCTGGAGTTTGAGGTTGTGATTCTCCTGCTACCAATGAAATAAAGCTTGCTTTGCTATAACCATATTGTGTCCAGATTTTCACATATTTATTTGCTTGTTTCCAAGGAAATGGTTCCTTAAGATTAGTCTTTGAGATCCTTTTGATGGTACTCTTGGAAGGTGGACTTTATTTTTGACACCTTGTTCCCTTCCTTCCTCAGACCATGTATGCACACAACACGCACACACAAAACCCCTAAAAAACACATCCAGCTTTGTACCTGAGCGAGACACACTTTTTAAGCCAAATTCAGCATTTCTCCTTGGTTTTTGGACTCAGTCCCCTTAGAAAACAATAGGTCTAGCCTGGATGGTGACTGTCCCTAGCTATCACAGATTCCCAGTTGCAAATCGAGGTAAGAGCTATAATAAACTCCTAGGAAATTCTCATGAAAGAAAGCAGAGCAACTGGCCATTGCTGTTCTTCATTTAAATTTTATAATAGAGAAAAGCTAATCATGAATCAAGTAAAAAGGAGAGAGGTCAGTAAACTACATATTATGAACTTGAGAAAAATGATTTTTTGGGGGGGGGTCCAGTCGTGGGGCTTGAACTCTGGGCCTGAGCGCTGTCCCTCAGCTCTTCAGCTCAAGGCTAGCGCTGTACCGCTTGAGCCACAGCGCCACTTCTGACTTTTTTCTTTTTGCTTATGTGGTGTTGAGGAATTGAACCCAGGTCCTCAGGCATGCAAGGCAAGCACTCTACCACTGAGCCAACTTCCCAGCCCAAGAAAAATGATTTTTAAAATAGTAATTTTTCTTTTTTGGGTCTGGTCGTGGGGCCTGAATTATGGACTTGGGCACTGTCCCTCAGCTCTTCAGCTCAAGGCTAGCGCTCTACCGCTTGAGCCACAGTGCCACTTCTGGCTTTTTTTTATGCTTATGTGGTATTGAGGAATCGAACCCAGGGCCTCATGCATGCAAGGCAAGCGCTCTAACACTGCCCCCTTCCCAGCCCAAAATAGTAATATTTTTATTGTCAAGTGAGAATTACACACAGAGTAGAGACAACAATGTGGTGTGTATGGACAGATAGATGATAGATAGATAGATAGGGAATGATCAAGTCAATACATCCAGCATCTCACTTTCCTATCATTTTTCTAGTAAGATATTTTGAAATTTAGTTGGAAATATAGATTATTATAGTCGTTACATTGTTACATAATTGATCTCGACCTATTCCTATACAAGTGCCCGTGGCTCATATCTGTCATCCTAGCTACTCAGGAAGCTGAGATCTGAGGATCATGGTTCCAAGCCAGCCTAGCACAAAAGTCTGTGAGACTCTTATCTCCATTTAGCCAGCAAAAAGCCAGAAGTAGAGGTGTGACTCAAGAGGTAGAGTTCTAGCCTTGAGAAAAAAAAAAGCTGAGCAAAAGTACAGGCCCTGAGTTCAAGCCCTAGAACTGGCTTGCACAGAAAACATATTCTTCTCTATGAAGCTTAATTTCTTTGTATCATCAAGTCCTTATTATCCCATCTGCTTGGCTTTTTTGTTCAAGACTGGCATTCTACCACTTGAGCCACACCTCCACTTCTAGGTTTTGCTGGTTAATTGGAGAAAAGGGTCCTACAGACTTTTCTGTCAAGGGCTGGCTCTGAATCTCAGTCCTGGATCCCACCCTCCTGAGTATTGAGGATTATAGGTGTGAGCCACTAATGCCCAGCTTGCATTGATGATTAGTGGTGCTGTGAGCATTTGAGAAAATGCCCTGAATGCGGCCTAAAAACATTGTGAGAGAAGCAAAACGAGGAAAAACAAAACAACTCTGTTAAATCTCTTTAATGAAGTATCCCAGGATCCAAAAGGTTAAATGTGTGGATACAATCACACAAGTGAATAAGATCATGTGTACGAGAGACATAATTGAAAATAGACCTATTGGGTTTCGTCTACCATCTCACATACTGGAACTGGGTTTCATTTGAAAGGAAGAACAGAAATATTTACAAAAATATTATGTTTTTGGAACTGGAAACGAACAAGAAGGCTAGATCCTGAGTTGGTTTTCATGCATTTATATACACATTTTAACAATAGCCAAGATAATGTTAAATCAAACACCCTTTGAGATAGAACTAGAGAAACTCAAATTGACTCAGGCAAAAACTAGATCTCTTCTAGGCAATGGTTTATTTCCTTATTTTTTTTTAAAGTAGGAAAGTCCAGGCTGGCTTCAAACTTCAATCCTCAGATCTCAGCCTCCTGAGTAGCTACAATGACTGGCGAGAGCCACCAGCACGCAGCTTAAGACATTATTTTTAAGCAGAAGGAATCCTGAAAGTTGGGGAAAAGACCCATGTACCCATAAACAAGGCTGAGGGTTTTCCTTATGCTAGTCCATAGACTTTATTTTTAAAAATAACATCATACATGGGCTGGGAAGGTAGCTCAGTGGTAGAGCACTTGCCTTGCATGCTCGAGGCCCTGGGTTCAATTCCTCAGCACCACATAAGAAAAAAGCTGGAAGTGGCCCTGTGGCTCAAGTGGTAGAGCACTAGCCTTGAGCTGAAGAGCTGAGGGACAGCGCCCAGGCCCAGAGTTCAGACCCACGACTGGACCCCCCCCCCAAAAAATAACATCATTCAGGTTAAATGAAGGGTATGATCATGACTTTCAAAAGTTTTATTCTGAACCCAATCCTTTGCTGTGTCCCAACTGCTTGGTGGCACATGTGGAGGCTGACTAAGGCAGGTAGTAGAGTCTTAGAGACCACCATTTTCACAGCCAGTCACGTGTCAGGCTCTCAGACATCAGATGGGGTTGGATGCCTACAGGCTGAGTAGCATCTCTGTGACACTGTCTGAGCAGCTATACAGCTACACAACCGAAGTGCTTCTAAATACTATGTGTACACGTGCTGTGAACTAACCTGCCACCAACCTCTGGCTTATGGATACTATACTCCCCTCCCTTCCTCCCTCCCTCCCTCCTTTCCTCCCTCCCTCCCTCCCTTCCTTCCCCTTCTTGCCCTTTATTTTTATTTGTTTATTTATGTATTTGATGCCAGTATTGGGGCTTGAACTCAGGGCCTGAAAGCCATGCCCACAAACTTAAGCCACAACTCTACTTCCAACTTTTTGGTGGTTAATTGGAGATATGAGTCTCATGGACTTTCCTGCCTGGGCTGGCTTCAAACCACAATCCTTGGATCTCAGCCTCCTGAGTAGCTAGGATTACAGGCATGAGCCACCAGCACCCAGATCCTCCACTCTTTGTTGTGAGCAATATCAAGAGTCAGTGGCTTTGTCAAATCTAAGCAGTGGTGTCCATCATTGATTTAGCTACATTGCTCCACGCCCTGTTTTGTTAAATATATTGTTGACCTAAATGATATGAACATGTAATTAATTCTGTAAATCACCTCTAGCTAAGCAACCACTACATGATTTATGAAGTAAATATTGTGATGGCTTTGATAACTGGGAAATGATTCTGTCTAGCAGGAATGAATTTATAAATGACAATTACAAGTCACAATATTTCTAGAGAGAAAAGAAAACAGCATGACCCGCAACTAGGTATAGGAGGGGGTGGGGTGAGAAATTAGGAATTGGATCTGACCTGGAGTTGAGAATGTTAACTTCTGACTACTGCTGCTGAGAAGAAAGCTACATGACTTAGGGTTGTGTTAAGATCACTGTTGGACAGGCAGGCAGGAAATTCTTGAACAAAGACACCCAGTCACACACTACACAGGTTATCAGACTCTGATTTTTTTTCCGCTTTAAAAAAATGTGGAAGACAACTTGAAGGAGAGCTGAAAATGGATGATAAAGTCTAAAGTATACAAATTCCTATTTGAGGAAAATCTGTAAGATCTGCCTGAATTGAAGCATTTGGGGAATAACTTCAAGAGAATCCTCAAGAAGAAGAAAAGCATTGGGAAATTATTCCTGCCATTTTTTTTTTTTGCCAGTACTAGGACTTGAACTCTAGACCTAGTGCTCTTGCTGGGCTTTTTAAGACTGCCACTCTATCACTTGAGCCACACATCTACTCCCAACTCTTTGCTGGTTAATTGCAGATAAAAGTCTCAAATGTAACTGATGGCTTCTAGATTGCAACCTCCTGAGTAGCTAAGATTATAGGCATGAGCCACCAGTGCCCAGATGGAAGGAAGTTCTTTTTCATTTTGTCTTTCCCCATTAAAAGTGTCATAAGTGATCTCATGTTTCTCTTGTAGCCTCTTGACTGACCCAACTTCTTCAAACCATGATTTGTTCTTGCAGCTCATCAAGGTGGCTTTGGAGAAAAGTCTAGCAACTGTGGAGCCGCAGGACCTCTCTCTTGTCCCTCCTTCCCCACCAGGCGAGGACAGCCACAGGTGTTTTCAGGAGGAAATTCTCCACCTGAAGGCTGAGGTCCACCAGCACTTGGAGGAGAAGAGAAAAGCCGAGGGGGAACTTAAGGAGCTAAAAGCTCAAATTGAGGAAGCCGGCTTCTCCTCTGTGGCTCATATCAGGTGAGACTCTTCCCCAGGGTTGATAGCCCAGTGACAGCCTTGCCTCAGACAAGGCGTTTGTCCTACTTCATGTTTCCTTAGGCTGCATCCCAGGTACCAGACACTAATACTACAGATTCTTTACAGACAAGTTAATACTAATAGATAGTAATCACATTTGTGACTCAAACAAGCTGGTCTTAATTCAAGGTAGTCATGCCTAGTATCAGCCAGTGGCTTGAGCCAGTAATCCTAGGAAGCTGAGATGTGATCATCAAGGTTCAAGACCAGCTCAAGCAGGCAAATTTGAGAGATTCTTCTCGCCAAGTAACCAGTGAAAAAGCCAGAAGTGGAGGTATGGCTTAAGTGGTAGAGCACCAGGCTTAAGTATAAAAGCGAAGTCGGAGTGCGAGGTGCTGAGTTCAAACCCTAGTGAAATATATATGGGAGTCTCTGGTGCAAGGGAGACCTCTCACTCTTCCTCACTCTTGGTTTCCTTTCATCTACACTTTTTTTGTGAGTCCTGGAACTTGAACTCAGGACCTGGACACTGTCCTGGAGCTTCTTTTGCTCAAGGTTAACTAGCGCTCTACCACTTGAGCCACAGCACCACATCTGGCTTTTTTTGTGTATGTGGTACTGAGGAATTGAACCCAGGGCTTCATACATGCTAGGCAAGTGCTCTCCCACTGAGCCACCTTCCCAGGTCTGGCTTTCTTTTATCTAAAAGAAGGGGCTTGCTCTACGTCAGCAGGCCGCTCTAACTCTGTCGTGGACTTAGATGTGGGTGCCGGAAACCCGGGGCCACGCCTGACTATGCATCCCCACAGGAACACCATGCTGAGCCTGTGCCTGGAGAACGCCGAGCTGAAAGAGCAGATGGGAGAAGCCATGTCTGATGGATGGGAGATGGAGGAGGACAGGGAGCAGGGCGAGGGGATGGGGCACACTGCGCCTGCCCAGGAGGCTCCCAAGGGGAACAGCCTTCAGGCTGAGTTCCGAAAGCTCCAGGGAAAACTGAAGAAAGCCCACAACATCATCAGCCTCCTCAAAGAACAGCTGCTTCTGAGCCCCAAGGAAGGGAAGAGCGAGCTCACCGCCGCCCTCCTCCGGCCCCTGGCTGTGGAGTCGAACTCAGGCCCGGCTTGTTCTCCTGGCAAACGCCCATGCCCAGAGCAGGAGCCTGCAACCGCCAGAGCAGCCCGCAGACCCCAGAGCCTCGATCTCCCGGCCAGCCTTGCTGTGGAGGCCCCCCAGGTAAGCAAGGGCATGGGAGACAGGCCCTGGGAGAGGGCTGTTTTAATTGTTATCATAAAGGTGATGTGACATAAGTCAGGGAAAGAGCACATTTGTTTTTGGTCAGTGTCCCCCCTTCTCTCGTTCTCTCTCTGTTTTTCCCTCCCATCCCCAACCACACATTGTATAGTTCATTTCCAACATGGTGTCTAGTGAGTGTCACTGCTGTATTTGTTCACCAAGAGTTTCGTTTTTATCTTAGATGGCTCTGCCTTGGGGGTCAGGGGTACTGAGGAAAGGACACTTTTGACACCTGTCACCTGGGCAGTGGTTGGCAACATCATTACCTCATGGGCCTGTCTCCCTCCCCTCCTCCCTCCCTCCCTCTCTCCTTCCTTCCTTTCTTTCTCCTTCCTTCCTTCTTCTCATCCCGTCCTTCCTTCCTCCTTCCTTCTCTTTCCTTCCTTCCTTCCTTCCTTTTCTTTCCTTCCTTCCTCCTCTTTCTTTCCTTCCTCCTCCTTCTTTCCTTCCTTCTCTTCCTTCCCTTCCCTCCCTCCCTCTCTTCCTTCCTTTTTTTTTGTTTCCTTCTTTCTTTTACTTTTCTTTTTTGTGGGCTTGAACTCAAGGCCTAGGCACTGTGCCTTGGCTTTTTCACTCTAGGATGACACCCTACCACTTGAGCCATACCTCCACTAATGTTTGTTTTTTTTTAAAAAAAAAAAACTTGTTAATTGGAAACCAGAGTCACAGACTTTCCTGACTAGGAAGGCTTTGAAACTTGATCCTTAGCTCTCAGCCTCCTGAGAAGCTAGGGTTACAGGAGTGCACTACCAGCACCCAGCTCGCATTGGTTTTGAGGCAGCCCAGACAAGTGGCATGTAATGACATCTCTTCCTTATCATTGCTGTTTTCATGCCAGCATCTGTGCTTGGGTCTCAGAAAGGCTTACTGGCTCCCCCAATAAAGGGAGGTGGCTTTGCTGAGAAGGCAGCGAAAGGGAGACTACAGAGGATTCTTAGGAGACCAGGGTCAGGATCGTGGGGAGGGTTGGGGGGGGAGTGTGTTCCACTTCTGCCCTTCCTTTAACCACTATCATTTAACCTGAGGGTTCTTCTGCAGACTTGATTGGCACTGGGCAGTTGCTGTAGATCCGGGGATGAATAAAACATCCCCTGGCTCTCGGATGGCGCCAGATGGCATAAGTGCCTCAGACTGTGAATGTAGTCGAGCTCCTGGGGGAAGGGGCTGTTCCTGCGTGGGGTGGCCTCAGGATGCCTAATCACTTTGTTATTAGTCCCACCAGTGTGAAGCCCAGACCCCTGGGCCTCAGTCAGAATCCAGCCTGCCCAGTTCCACCAAGCACCTGCGCTCCCAGCTGGCGCAGTGCAGACAGCAATACCAAGACCTCCAGGAGAAGCTGCTGATCTCCGAAGCCACAGTCTTTGCCCAGGCAAACCAGCTGGAGAAGTACAGGGTCCTGTTCAGTAAGTACTATCAGCTCACCATCACTAGGTGTCTTCCTTCGCCTGGACAAGCTGTGTGTTCTATAGATTTTACTTTACTTCCCCAAGCTCAGAACAATAGTCCTGACCACAGTCCTACAGCTGTGGAAGTGGATATTTTCCTTTAAGTTTCAGAGGACAGAGAAGAACAAAGAGATTTTGGGTTTGTGCCAGTCTGGGGGCTTGTTCCCAGTGCCTGGGTGCTGTCCTTGAACTCTTTCATTCAAGGTTGGTGCTCTACCACTTGAGCCATACCTCCATTTCTGGTTTTGTGGTGGTTAATGAGAGGTTAGAGTCTCAGGGACTTTTTCTACCCAGGCTGGTTTTGAACTGTGATACTCAGATATCAGCCTCCTGAGTAGCTAGGATGACAGGTGTCAGCTACTGGTGTCTGGCCAAAAGAATTTCTTAAAGTTGCAGGGAGGGTATGGAGAGGAAAAGAACTAACATCTAGATTAGCTGATTTCTGGAACAGTCAGTAAACTCCCTTTCCTCTTTCAGTATAATTGTCTCTCTCCTATTTCTCTGGGCACAACTGATTTCCCCTCCCTCCCCCCAAACACTGTCATTGTTGGTCTAGAATCGGCCTTGACCCATGGAAGTTTTTGCTGTATGCCCACACTGCATAGAGCTATCGAACACAGGAAATGTAGCCAGTGAAACCCAAAAATGCTGTTCTTTCTTTCGTTTTCATTAGCTTACTACAAAAGAGCCACCTATGGTTACTAATGTACTTGATGAGAGGGCACAGGCCAGGTGTCCTGGGACTATAAGTCAGTTCAGAGGCACCCCAAATGCTCCTGACCCTTGGGATCAGGGGACTTGTTAGTCTTCCTGGGGCTGGGAGAGATGATAGTATAGGAATGTCACGGATGTCTGCTCCATGATCAGAAATGAGATCCTGTAGCCCAGGTACAGGCTAGGGGAGGGGCGTAAGTCCTTCTGCAGGAAGACCTCAAGACCAGACAACAGTCCCCCTCCCTTGCTGACCACTGGACCCCCAAGGCCACATGTGCTACCAGATGACACTATCTGTTCTCAGCAGGCGAATCCCCAGTGCAGCAGGACAGCAAGCAGGTCCAGGTGGATCTACAGGACCTGGGCTATGAGACGTGCGGCCGCAGCGAGAATGAGGCCGAGCGGGAGGAGAGCACCAGCCCTGGTAAGGGCTCAGGATGGGGGCAGCGTCATGGTGGGGGCAGGAGGCCACGCCCTCTATAAATGGGCAGTGGCGCAGGGGGGTGGCTCTGAAGGCAACACAGGGCAGAGGTCAGGGAGCTTGGAGAAGTCTGGTCCAAAGTGAGGGTGGGTATGAGTTTAAACTTCTTTGCTTTCAGAAGACTGCTGTTAAATTCGTGTATAGACACACATATATAATATATAACATATATTATATATAAATGTGTATGTATACACACATATATGTATATACACATGCACACATACATATCACAGATAGAAAATATTAAGGCCTATTTATCAAGGAAGAGACCATATGAGTTTGGGGGTATTTGTAAACTGTAAGTCTTTCTGTTTGTTTTCCGTCATTTCTGGGGATTGAACTTAGGGCCAGGATACTGCCCCTGAGCTTTTGTGCTCACCCTACCATTTGAACCACAGCTCCACTTCTGGCTTTCTGCTGGTTGATGGGAAATAAGAATCTTAAGAACTTTCTTCCCATGGTTGGCTTTGAACTATGATCTTTAGCTCTCAGCCTCCTGAGTAGCTAGGATTGCAGGTGACCCACCATCCATAAGGTTTTGTTGTGGTTGTTGTTTTAAAATGTTTCTGCATTGTCAAGGATTGAAACTACAAAGCGTCTACGCAGGGGAAGCGGAGGAGGAAGAGCCACTCACTCCTCCCACCCTGCAGGCATGTCATGGGAGCTGAGGCCAAAGTGCTTGCAAAATTCTCTGTGCCTCACGTAAAATAGTCATAAAACAAACTGGGCCTGGGGGGCTCATGCCTGTCATCCTAGCTACTCAGGAGGCTGAAGTCTGAGGATCAAGGTTCTAACATAGCCAGGGCAGAAAAGTCTACAAGATTGCATCTCCAATTAACCAGCAAAAAGTTGGAAGTAGAGGTGTGTCTCCAGTGGGAAAGCACCAATCTTGAGTAGAAAAAGCCAAGTGAAGGGTGGGAAGCCTTGAGTTGAAGCCCCAGTAATAGGGGTGGGGGTGGAGGGTGGAATAAAATACGTACGTTCCGTGTTAATGTCTTACTTAGGAATCATCAGCATGGGTGGGAAGCCACAGGGAAGTTGAAGATCTGAATGCTGGTTCTCTGTGGACTAGCTTGAGTGATCTACAAACTAGCTAGGTTACCTCTCTCTGGTTTTGGTTTTTTTTGACCATACCTAACTTGCAGAGTGGTTGGAAGGAGTTGGAATAGTATCCTCGAATGCCAGAGTCAGAGCTGAAGAAAGTCCTGCTGCAGCTCTGCCTTTAGTACTTCTACCACCTGGCTGTTCCCCTCAGAGGGCATGAGGGTGTGGCCAAGCAGCGCTCCAGCTCTCCTTCAGGAAGATTCTCTGTCTTGCAGAGTGTGAGGAGCAATACAGCCCCAGGAGCTCGCTGGTGCTCACGGAAGGCCTAGGTTCTCTGCAGGGCCCTCTGAGCCCCACCCCGGCCGCTCCTTCGGGGAAGAAGCTTTGGGAGAGCCACCTAGGGAAGCAGGAGGAGTTCCAGGCCTACGGAAAGTCCGAAGACATCGCTGTCCTGAGAAAGGACATCAAGGATCTGAAAGGGCAGCTGCAGTATGCGCACAAGGTCATCCAGAATCTCAAGAGCAGGGTCCGCTCCCTCTCGGTGACGAGCGATTACTCCTCGAGCCTGGAAAGACCTCGAAAGCTGAGAGCAGTTGGCACCTTGGAAGGCTTCTCGCCTCACAGTGTCACCGACGAGGACGAGGGCTGGCTGTCGGACGGCACTGGCGCGTTCTATCCCCCTGGACTTCAGGCCCGGAAGGATCTGGAGAGTCTCATCCGGAGAGTGTCCCAGCTGGAGGCTCAGCTTCCAAAAACTGAAGTAGAGGGGAAGCTGGCCGAGCAGCCACAGCCAGCCTCGTGGCCCGGGTAAAGGTGGCACCAGCGGGGTCCTTTCTTGATCCATGATGCTTTAGATCTGTGCCTGGAATGAGAGGAGCCAGGCTCTGGGCAGGGCAAGCATACCGGGGTAACTCAGAGTGAGCAGCCAGACGTATGGTATTGGTAAGACTAGACATCAGACTGCCTGAGTTCAAACACTAACTCTGCCACTTATTAGCTGTGTCATCTACTTGAGCCTATTTGCTTACCTATGAAATGATAATAATGAGAACCCAATCCATATTTGTAAATTTTTATTTGCTTATTATTTTACTTATTTCTTGTCGGTCGTGGGGTTTGAACTCGTGGCCTGGGCACTTCCCTGAGTTCTTTTGCTCAAGGCTAGTGCTCTACCACTTTGAGCCACAGTGCCACTTGTAGTTTGCTGGTAGTTAATTGGAGAGAAGACTTTCCTGCTTGGGCTGGCTTTGAACGCAATCCTCAGATCTCAGCCTCCTGAGTAGCTAGGATTACAAGCGTGAGCCACCACTGCCTGGCTATTTTCAATCTTTCTCTTTTTGTTGGTCATGGGTCTTGAACTCAGGCCTGGGCACTGTCCCTGAGCTTCATTTTGCTCAAGGCTCTACCACTTTGAGCCACAACCCTATCCTGTTTTGGGGGTGGTGAAATGGAGATAAAGGTCTCATAGACTTTATTGCCCAGGCTGGCTTTGAACTGCAAATCCACAGATCTCAACCTCCTGAGTAGTTAGCATTACAGGTGTGAGCCACCAGTGCCTAGCTCTAACCCGTATTTTTAAATGCTTCCTGGGTATGGGTTATGTGAAACTTAGCCTAGAGGAGTGTGTTAGTTTGGCTGTCACAAATATCTCCAAGGCCATCCCCATCCTCGCCATCCACTCTTTTCTGCTCTTAGACCTCCCTTTCTTGCCTTAGGAAATACGATTCCTTGATTCAGGACCAGGCCCGAGAACTTTCATACCTGCGGCAAAAGGTCCGAGAAGGGAGGGGTCTCTGCTACCTTCTCACCCAGCACGCCAAAGACACGGTGAAGTCTTTTGAGGACCTGCTGAGGAGCAACGACATCGACTACTACCTGGGCCAGAGCTTCCGGGAGCAGCTCGCCCAGGGGAGCCAGCTGACCCACAGGCTCACCAGCAAACTCAGCACCAGTAAGTTGGCCCTGGAGCTCTGGAATATTCTCCATCATTCCTAGTATCCCAGACACAGGTGGCCACCATACCTTCAGGGCCACTAGTTCCTCTTTACTTCATTTCCCAAAAGGCATTGGAGGACTAGGTGGTAAGTGCAAGAGGTACACACAGGGTTGGAGATGCCATGGTTGCCATTGTATAGACTTAAGTCAGCATGGTGGCACCCTGCTATATCCCAGCCCTCAGGTGGCTGAGGTAGGAAGATCATAAGCTGGAGTCAGTCTGGGCTCAAAAAACACAAACCAACTACAGAGACTTCCTCACACATAGAAGGTGACCTTTGGGGCAGAAACATCTAGTGCTAAGGAGGAGAAAGACAGATGAGATCCAAGATAGATGAGAGCCTTGTTACGAGTGAAAAGAGTAGGCTGGGCACCAGTGGCTCACACCTGTCATGCTAGCTACTCAGGAGGCTGAGATCTGAGGATCACAGTTCAAAGCCAGCCTAGGCAGAAAACCCTGTGAGAGTCTTATCTCCAGTTCACCAGCAAAAAGCAAATTGGAGGTGTGGCTCACGTCATAGAGTACCAACTCTGAGCCAAAAGCTCAATGAGAGCATAAGTCTTTGAGTTCACCCCCCAGTACTGGCATACACAGGCAAAACTGATAGAAGCTAAAGCCCTCAACCTAACTGATCTGGACTGCATGAATAGGCCCCCGTGTTTGTAATGGATGGTGTGAGACCTGTTCACCGTCTGACTTCTTTCTGAATTTGTTTTGCAGAGGATCATAAGCATGAGAAAGAACAGGCTGGACTTGAACCACTGGCCCTCAGGTAAATCAGAAGAGAATCTGGTTAGGGGATCTGACAGGGCCCAGGGTATCAAGGGCAGTGCAACAGTATAACATGGGGCCGGGGATGGGAACACTGAATAGAAGGAGTTCATTGATTCACTGCACACTTTGCTATTGTGTAATCATTTTCTCACTTAATTCTACTGGCACATTAATTCTCCAGGTTTGGCAGCCAGAAGCTGTCTACCTATATAAGCGAGCTATGTTTCAGGTCTTCTTGCTCCTGGGATCCTTCTCTCCTCTTCCCTTTGTAGTTTTTTAATGACCAGGATAAGCTTTTCTTTTTTCTTTTTTCTTCCTTTTTCTTTTTCTTTCTTTCTTTCTTTTTTTTTTTTTGTGCCAGTACTAGGGCTTGAACTCAGGGGCCTTGCATTCTCTCTTGGCTCTTCCACTCAAAGTTGGTGCTCTACCACTTGATCCACGGCTCTGCTTCTGGTTTTTTGCTTATTCATTGGAGGTAAAAGTCTTTCCTGCCTAGGCTGGCTTTAAACTGTGATCCTCACATCTCAGCCTCCTGAGGAGTTAGGATGACAGGCGTGAGTGCTGGAGCCTGGCTGGTGACCTCGATTTGCCTCTCTGCCTCCCCAACAGGCTTAGCAAGGAGCTCCAGGAGAAGGAGAAGGTCATTGAAGTCCTGCAGGCCAAGCTGGATGCTCAGTCTTTCTCGCCTCCCTGCAGCCACGCCTTGTCAGACTCCCACCGCTCTGCCAGCACTGCCTCCTTCTTATCGGATGAGCTGGAAGGCTGCTCTGACATGGACGTAGCCAGCGAGTACACAAACTACGAAGAGAAGAAAGCTTCCCCTGGCCATTCAGGTAGTCTCCACTGTGAGCTGTGCCATTCCTGCCTAGGTTGAGGAGACCTTAGGAACCAGGCCCTATAGCTCCACCTGGGTGTGTACCTGGCTGAACATGGCTCTCAAGGATCAGCCACAGGCCCCCATGGCTTGGATCCTTGCCCTTGCTCCTGATTCTATATGTGCTCTGTCACTCTGTCTCCACCGGTGTGCCCATGCTGGCCTCCCCGAGACAAGCCAGCACAAAGGGAAAAGATGCTAGCAGAACTTTCTTGCTTGCTTTTCTTCCCTCCCTCTCTCCCTTCTTCCTTCCTTCCCTCTTTCCTTCCTCTCTTCCTCCTTCTTTCTTCTTTCTTTCTTGTACTGGAGCTTGAACTCAGAGCCTAGACATACCGGTCCCATAGCTTTTTTTGCTCAAGGCTAGCACTCTACCACCTGAGCCATACCTCCATTTCTTTATGCTGCTTAATTGGAGATGAGTCTGACCGGTTTTCCTGCCTAGGCTGGCTTTGATCCTCAATCCTCAGATCATAGTCTCTTGAATAGCTATGATTATAGTCATGAGCCACTGTGCCCAACTCTCTCTCTCTCTCTCTCTCTCTCTCTCTCTCTCGGTGAATGACTTTAGCAAAGAGATCTCCTTCTTTAGATTGTCCCATTTGTCCTTCAACAATCTTGTGCTTACAATTCCAATGTGCCCTGAATATCTGTGGGTCTCCACAGATGTCGCCAGTCTTGGTGGGGCCATTTTTTAAATTTCAGGGCGGCTGGCTCCACTGTCAGCCTAAGGTGTGTCACCTCACAGACAGAGCACTTTATAAGCAAGAAAATAAACACTGCAGGGCTTGGGCTCTGTGCTCTCTGGGACAGCAAGACTGTAGCCCTGGTTCCCTGGGTAAATGGAAGGCCAGAGTTCCACCAAACCTTTTCTTTCATTCATGGGTTTTATAGATTCCATCCATCATTCAAGTCATCCCGCCGTACTGTCTTCTAAACCATCAACAACCAGTCCATCTCAAGGGGTTCAGGCCGGATCCACCAGCAACCCTATCAGCCTGCCAACTCCCCAGAGCCCCCCCCAGGAGAACAGCCAGGCCCAACCAGGTATGCACCCGCCAGAGGGACAAGCGGCTTCTCTTTCCTCAGTGCCCCGTTTGATTGTTAGAGGCCTGTGTATCCCATGTTCTAGACGAAATCCAGTTACCATCTCACTCACCATTTGTGTTTGATGAAAAAATGTTGTAGAGAGTAAATAATTCACAGCAGGCTCTGATCTGCATACAAAGTTTTAATAGTAATAATAATAATAATAATAATGATGATGATGACTGTTTTTTGGTGCCCATAGTGAGGCTTCAACTCAAGACCCCATGCTTCCTTTGGCTTTTCACTCAAGGCTGACTACCACTTGAGTCACAGCTCCACCTTAACCTTTTTGATGGTTAATTGGTAAGAGTTTTGAGGATTTGCTTTCCTAGGCTGGCTTCAAACTGTGATCCTCAGATGTCAGCCTCCACAGTAGGTAGGATTGCAAGCATGATGTGTTTTAGAAGGTAATCAGCCTTCTGATTACAGCAGCATTGATTTCTTAGGGCTCCCTGCCCTCCAACTAGAAGAAGTGTATTCAAACATTGGGTCTTTGCTAGTCTCTTAAAGATCTGTCTGTATATATGAAGCACAAAGATCACCTAGGAAGGAGTTTTATAATATAAGTTCCAAGTCCTACTCATATAGTTTAGGTTCCTGCAGGGTTGTATTAAGACCTGAGGAATCTGCTTGTGTTAAGAGTTTGTCTAGCGGGGCCTGGTGGCTCAAGTCAGACAAAAGGAGCATGCATCTTAGACTAGTCTGGCCTATATAGCAAGTTTGAGGCAAGGCTTGGTCAAAAGAGTTTTCTGTAAGTGATTATTTAAATGCCCAGGCGGGCTGTAGGCCTTTGTGTCCTGGCCAGGCACCAGCATCTTCTCTGACTTTTTTTTTTTTTTTTGGTGCCAGTACTGAGACATCACTCTCTGACTTGGCTGTTTTTGTTCAGGCTGATGCTTTACCATTTGAGACACACTTCCATTTGCAGCTTTTTTTTGTTGGTATTTGGAGATAAGAATCTCTCGAATTTGTCTGCTGGTTTTGAACACAGTGTCTACTTTTCATCTGGCATATGAGCACATTGATTTGGGTTTCTATCTCCATCCATGTTCCAGATTCCATCGACTGGAGAGGACAGTTTCACTCTTGCCCTCCCTCCCCCTAGAGAAGCGTGCTGGCTGTGGGGAGAGTCTTAGGGAGCACTGGGACACAGCCACCCTGACCTTGGGCCAGCTCAGGCATGCCACCTTGTGGCCAGTCGCTCCCAAGATGTGTATGGGATGGCCCTGGCAGGGATGGAGAGGAAAGGGCAGCCAGACCCACTTCCTTAGAGTACCGATCATTCTAGGCCAGCATAGCCTTCCCCTTTTCAGTCCTTTCCCTGTGCTTTTCTCTGCCCCCACCCTTCTCTCTAATGACGTGTCTCATCTCTGCCTCATTTTCTGTTTCCAGGCTTTCATTTCACCTCCAGCCCCCTGCTCCCCCAGGCACCCTTGCCCCCAGCTCCGCTGGGCTTCCTGCCTCTCAGTCCCCCTGGTCCTCCCCTTCTTGGCTGCTGCGAGACACCCGTGGTGTCCTTGGCTGAGGCTCAACAGGAGCTGCAGATGTTACAGAAGCAGCTGGGAGAAAGTGAGCACTCCTGCACGTGCGTGCGTGTTGGTGGCAGCGCACGCAGTGTGGCTCTGCATGGCTTTGGCTTAGGGGAGCTGGAGTGAACTCCCGGGGGTGCGCAGTCTAGATGGAGGGGAAATCTCTGCTTGCTTTCTTTGGACCATGTTTACTGTCATCTTCCTGGTGTGTGTGTGTGCTGGTACTGGGGCTTGAACTCAGGGCCAGGGTGCTGCCCCTTGGCTTTTTCTATCTAAGGCTGGTTTTCTACCACTTCAGCCACGGATCCACTTCTGGGTTCGGTTTTTTGTTTTGTTTTTGTTTTTTGGTAGTTCTTGGAGATAAGAGTCTCACGGAGTTTCCTGCCTGGGCTGGCTTTGAACTATGATCCTCAGATCTCAGCCTCCTGAGTAGCTAGGATGACAGGCATGAGCCACTGGTGCCTGGCCAGCCCACGTGGAACATAATCAGAGCAGGGAACAAAGGCTCAAAGGAGCTGCTAAGTGGTTGGTGAGGCCAGATGTGTCCTCTGCTCCTGGCTCTGGGTGTCCACAAACCTTCTGTGTTCAGGATCATTGTTTCCATCCTGTTACGGGAGTCAGGCCAAACTCAGCGGTGGTGGGGTGGGGTGGGGTCCCTCTGCAGAGCCCCTGTAGTAGTGCTCCCCCCTCTATTTAGAGAAGTATGGGCCCTAGGTGCTGGCATTTGCAACCTGAAACTCATGGCACCAGCAGCTTGGGTAACAAATACGCCTGTGCCAACATGACAGCAGTGTTGTCTAGCTTCCTTTCCTTCCCAACAACTTCCTTCCCTTTATCTTTCCAGATTTGCCACCTTGTCTTTGTCCACAGGTAAAGACAGAAGGATCGCACTGTGCAGAAAAAGGAGTCCATTCCTGGCTTCAACGCCTGCAACCCTAGCTACTCAGGAAGCTGAGATCTGAGGATCTCAGATCAAAGCCAGCCCAGGCAGATAAACCTGATCTTCTATTAGCCAGCAAAAAAAAAAAATATAGCTGTGGCTCAAGTGGCAGAATGCCAACCTTGTATGAAAAAGATACAGGACAGCACCCAGACCCTGAGTTCAAGCCCAGTACACTGGCGTGCGCACGCTCTCTCTCTCTCTCTGTCTGTCTTACACACACACACACACACACACACACACACACACATCTGTTGTGAGTTGAACCAGAGTTGCAGATAGTCAGAGGCTTTGGCCCATCAGTTAGCACGCAGTGCGTCAGTGGACAGCTCTGTCTCGCTTCTCCTGGGTGGGTGCCGGGGGAAGAGCTCCTCGCACATCCCTGTGGTACCGCTTTGCATGGTGTGGCGCACATGCACTGTATGTGTGGCCAGCGGAGGCGGAGCAGGAGAATTCTGCTCGTCCACTGGTCATCTCCAAACCGCTTGTGCTCTTGGCTAAAACATAAGCTGTGCGTAACCACTAATCTCTCCTTTGCTGGGTGTTGGGGTGAGGATGGAGAGGGTACGAAACGGGTAGGCAACGCTCTTTATTTGAATCTCTACTAAAAAGAAAAAGTACTTATGTTTCTAATCTCTTTCACTCACAGTGATTCTAATGAACATTTAATATTTTATAAACTGGACAAGTATAGAACTGTGATGGTTCTTTTCAAATTTTGCATCCTGTTAGAATCTCCTGGGGTGATTTATTTTTCTATGCTGGTACTGGGGCTTGAACTCAGGGCCTGGGCTTTAGCTTTTTTCCACTCAAGGTTGGTGCTCTATCACTTGAGCCACAGCACCACTCCCACATTTCTGGGGGTTTATTGGAGATAACAGTCTCAAAGACTTTCCTGCCCGGGCTGGCTTTGAACCACGATCCCCAGATCTCAGCCCCTGAGTAGCTAGGATTACAGGTGTGAGCCACATGTGTCAGTCCCCTATTATCCTCTTGACTCCTAACATAGGAAAAGAGTCCTGCTTCTGAAACTTTCCTGGATTCTGTCAGGAATTACAGTAGGAGCCACGAGTGGGCCCCTGGTCTTGTCGTTTGGGTACACACATGACTTGACTTATCTTTTCCATCCTCTGCCTTTCAGGGTCTCCTGCTAGGAAAGACAGCAGGTGGCGTTTACAGGCTTGGGGTTGTGCATTACCGGGGGTCTGTCTGTCCATCCCCTGGTAGTTTTCATGTCCTCACTGTTCTTTCTGCCTAGGTGTTGGCACGGTGCCTCCTACGCCCACAGCTCCATTGCTAAGCACCCGTTCCCACGCCAGCTCCTCCCCCTACCTCGGCCCCGCCCACTCCCCCAGGAGGGGCCCCCAAGAACTGGGACAAAGCCTGGAGCCTGGGTGCCAGTGGGACATGCTGAGGCCCCAAAAAGGGAGTGTGTGTGGAGGTTTGTCTTCAGGCTCGTCCATGTACCAGCTTACCTCCAAGCCCACAGGTAAGGCACAGAGCTGAGGGGCAACCTCTGGCAGCAGGTCTCCTCCTGACCACTTCTTTCCTACCTGGGCAGGGCTTTGTGCAGTGCTCCTGTAGTTGCTGGCTCACACAGTGGGAAAAGCTCAAAGGACTCTCATGGTGTCCATCCTTCCTAAGGCCGTCCTCCACTCACTCTGTCCACAGCTCAAGTGCTCTTCAGAGCCACAAGAAAGTTGGGGACCCACTTCCCATACTGTCATGCCCCTGTCTCTCGCTCCCTAACCTCTTTACAGCCCTTTATCTTAGAGGCTTCTAGAAGGCCAGGCACAGACATTTACAGAGACTGGCTCCCATCAGTCAGAAATTTTTATAGAAAGAAACACAATTCCTTCACCAGACATAGATGTATGTCCCCTGTCTAAAACCCAAACAGCCAGGAGCCAGTAGCTCACCCCTATAATCCTAGCTACTCAGGAGGCTGAGATCTGAGGATTTCAATTCACAGCCATCCTGCACAGCAAAATCAGTGAGATTCTTATCTCCAATTAACAGCAAAAAGCTGCAAGGAGAGGTGTGGCTCAGGAGGTAGAATACCAGTCTCGAGTGAAAAAATCCAAGCAAGAACATGAGGCTGTGAGTTCAAGCCCAAGTACTAGTGCTTTGAAGGAATCTTTCAGTGCCAGTCAGCAAACCATGAAGAATGAGCTGAAGGTTACATGTGGGTACCATAGGCCATCTCTCTGAGTGGACCAGGCGGGACTTTGGCCCTTGGTAAAAATCGTTCAGTCATATATGAGTGAGAATAAGTGGACCAGGCGGGACTTTGGCCCTTGGTAAAAATCGTTCAGTCATATATGAGTGAGAATAAAGGTCTTAGGAGAAAGGTGGCGTTGGAGGGAGGCCTTGGCTGTCATCTCAACGCCACGCTCTGGAGATAGCCACAAGTTTCTGGTGGAAAGTAGCTCCATCCAGAGAGAGCAGTTTCCTTTCTAAGCCATGTGGCTTTCCAGAACCTGTGTGCGAGGATGCCCACAAGGACGCCATAGCAGGGCTGGCCCATGCTTACCCAGACCAGCTACTCTTTTTTTTTTTTTCTTGTTTGTTTGCTGATAATGGGACTTGAACTCAGGGTACCTATGCTCTCTTACTTGGCTTTTTCTGCTTAAGGCTAGTAAGGCTAGTGCTCTATCACTTGAGCCACGCCTCCACTTGTGGCCTTTTGCTAGTTAATTGGAGGTAAGACTCTCACAGACTTTCCTGCTGGGGCTGGCTTTGAATTGGAATCCTTAGATCTCAGCCTCCTGAGTAGCTGGGATTACAGACGTGAGCCACCAGTGCCCTGCAAATCAAATTCCCTGTGTCCCCTGGGTGCCCATGTGAGAGGAAGTCATTGGCATTAGATGATAGCGGTTACTGATCTTGAGATCTCACGTGCTGAGCTCGCCACCCTCCTGGAAACATGTACTCTTCCCCACTTTTCTCCGTGTCCAGGCGCCGATCTGCTAGAAGAGCACTTGGGGGAGATCCGGAACCTGCGCCAGCGGCTGGAGGAGTCCATCTGTGTCAATGACCGGCTGCGAGAGCAGCTGCAGCACCGCCTGAGCTCTACCACCCGAGGGAGCGGTAGGAGAGGCCTGGCCCTGACCATCTGGGGCTGGGCTTCAGGAGCTTCACACGGGAGGACCCTTAGGCAGAGTTTCCCAGCACTCTGAGCATTTTCCTATGCTTTATGTCACTTGTTATTTGCAGCCCAGCCGTGATGGTGGGGGGATTTTTGCTTTAGGGCAGTGTCTGAGGGTACAGAGGAGCTCTGCTTAAGGCAGGAGGGTCTCCTGACTCCTGGCCTCATCCTGGGAAGAGGTATGGCCAGGTTTGTGAGGACCCTTCCCCAAGTCAGACTCTTCCCTGACTCCTCTTGGAGACCATGTTTCCCACATGGCTGCTCTTCTGCATTACAATGGCAGCCAGACAGGGAGAAGGAGCCTGCGGCAGAACTACAGCTATGGCACGTGATGGTGGCATGCCCAGAAGCCACTGAGAGGAGGCACCAAAGTGCCGGGCGTTCAGCCCATTGTGCCTAGTTAGTCCAGTCCTCCATTTTGACTCCTAGGGCTTTTGAATGGTTTGACACAGTAGATCTTTGGGAGATGGAGACTGGGAAACATCTGGAAGCATCTGTTACTCACGTGTGTTTTTCTGGTACAGGATCCACCCCTCACTTTGGTGGTCAGGGCCTGGATTCCATGTCCCAGCTCTGTAATGAGAACAGAGTCCTCAAGGAAGAAAACCGGAGCCTTCAGGCTCAGCTGAGTCACATTTCCAGAGGTGGGTGATGGAGAAGTCACACACTGGGGCCATTGTACATCTATTTCCTTCCCTGTATACCCATCACCCATTGGAATAGCAAGGAGATCGACTGAACACCCAACAACCCATTCATAGCTGTTCTTGGTCTACAAAAGGCTGTACCCTCAGAGGTGTCAACCACGGATGGCCCTCAGACTCCCAGGCTGCTGGGCTGAGTGGCTGTTGGAGGCCATTACTTCTGTGAAGCCAGGAGTTGTCAAATGGGTGGGGTATACGCACATCATTTTGGAGATTTTGTGACCAAGAGAGATATTTTTAAAGCTGGGTGCTGGTGGCCCATACCTGTAATCCTAGCTACTGAGGAGACTGAGATCTGATGATTACAGTTTGAAGCCAGCCTGGGCAGAAAAGCCCATGAAACTCTAATCTCCAATGAACCAGCAAAAATCTAGAAGCAGAACTGTGGTTCAAGTGGTACAGTGCCAGCCTTGAGTGGAAAACACTATAGAACAAAATCCAAGCCCTGAGTTCAAGTCTTACTAGTACTGCACACACACACACACACACACACACACACACACACACACACACACACACCAAGAGAAAGAGACAAAAAGAGAGTCAGAAAGAAAAGATTTTGACAGCCTAGGAAACAAAAATTGACCCAATTTTCAAAATAATGAAAAAAATATTCTAAAAACCATACACAAGAAAACTTTGTTGATTTTTGGCAAAATGTAGTAGATTGTTGAATCGATGGCATACATGTCCCTAGAGAACAATGGGCCAGAGTATCTCCTCTCAAAGCAAGGGACTGCAAAGACAGTGGCAAACCATCCCCCAATGTGAGCCAATCTCTCCCCATGTCCTGCAACTGGCTAGGTTCTGTTGGTCAGGACTGGCATGCTGTCAGCTTCTCTTCCTGCTGAGGTTTGCCTCCAAGCCCTAAATATTCGGTTCTGCCCACCAGGACACTCCCAGGAGATGGGACATCTGAGGGAGGCTCTGCTCTCTGCCCAGTCCCGACTCCAAGAGCTGGAGAAGGAGCTGGAGCGGCAGAAGGGGTCAAAGCAGCAGCTGCTGGAAGACTTGCAGGAGAAGCAGCAGGAGGTCTTGCGGTTCAGGGAGGAACGCCTTTCCCTCCGGGAAAATGACTCCAGGTGAGAGCAGACCTGCCCATTATCAGTTTAAAAGAAGGGAGATGGGCAAGACCAAAAGGACACCTCAGTTTTTCTTCATGGGTGACTTTGAGCAAAAGGAAGGGCTTTCCAGTTATTCTGACCACAAACTGTACCAGCATGGCTAGAGTGAACACTGGCTTCCATTAGCAAGAAGGGCACGATGTGCACAAGCACAAAGCTGCTGGTGTGTTTCTGATGCTCCCAGTGGACATAACCAAAGCTGCATCTTGAGGCTCAGTAATGTACCTGTCCCAGACTCTTCCCTTCAACCTGCCAATTAAAAGGGATGGTCTTCCTAACCTGGGACTCAGGCTCCATTACCCTGCCAGCTCAGTGGACCCTTGCCGCTCCCACAGGCTGCAGCACAAGCTGACTCTGCTACAGCAACAGTGTGAGGAAAAGCAGCAGCTGTTCCGCACCCTGCAGTCGGAGCTTCAGATCTACGAGGCACTTTATGGAAATTCTGAGCAAAGCCTGAAAGGTTTGCGTTCCCTTCCCCTCTCCTACAAAGTCCCGGGCAGAGGGGCTGCCACAAGAATTAAACTTCACATGAAGGTTCCACATACTTTCTCTCTTGCCTGGGTTGGCTTTGAATCATGATCTTCAGATCTCAGCCTGCTGGGTAGCTGGGATTACAGGCGTGAGCTATCATCAGTGACTGACTTCTCCTTCTCCTTTTTGATCGTTGAGTTCAACACTCATTAAATGTCCTTCTGTAGTTCATGGCTGACCTCCTGCCTGGGGGCTGGGGGGAGGAGGTCTGGCTCCCTAATGCACGGTTAATACAAAAATGAAACCCTAGGTTCATAATTACTTGCCATAATTGTTCTCCTCAAAGTGTGCATGCATAGCTGGAGCCCCAGAGAAATTCCAGGCTGGCTCTGTACTGTCCCAGCAGGCCCCAGTGCCACCCCAGACTAGTGACATTTGTCTTGTGGATACGTTCCTAAATGCCTGTGGTGACAGTGGGGTCCCTGGTAGGAAGGGATGGCACAGGGCAGCATCCTTACAAACTTGGGGGTTCTTGGGTCGTGTTCACCTGACCCCTCCCCCGTCTTCCTTCAGCTTCCAGCCTGGACACCCAGACTCAGGTCCCTGTGAACGGCGACTTGAGCCACCTAGTGGCAGAGATTCGTGCTCTGAGGGCACAACTGGAGCAAAGCATTCAGGTGAACACCGGCCTGCGGCTGCAGCTGGAGCAACAACTGGATGGTGGAGTTGGCAAAGCCAGCCTCAGCCCCTCCAGTAGCCAGGGCTTCCCCGCCAATGCCAAGCCCAGCGACCAGCCTCCACTCTTTCAAGGTAGGAAGAAAAAGGGACCAGGGAAGCCTTTGGACAGCAGAGGGCGCATGGTGGCTGCTGCAGCCAGCGCTCCACGAGTAGACAGCATTGGGTTGAAACTGGGGAAGCGGTATGTGCCCTTCCGAATGAGAGCCAGATTCAGAACCAGGATGTTTGCTTTGTGCAAGGTACTTAAACTTTCAAGTCTTTAAGCCTCAGTTTTTTTTCAACTTGAAGATGGGAGCAATAATTACTATTAATACTAAATACATTGTATGGTTTTATTTGGGACATTGTGTGTGTGTGTGTGTGCGCGTGCGTGCGTGCGTGCGTGTGTGTGTGTGTGTGTGTGTATTGGTCCTGGAGCTTGAACGCAGGGCTTGGGTGCTGTCCCTTAGCTTTTTCACTCAAGGCTGGCACTCTACCACTTGAACCAAAGCTCTATGTCCAGCTTTTGGGGGGTTAATTGGAGTAACAGTCTTATGGACTTTCCTGCCTGGGTTAGCTTCAAACCTCAATCCTCAGATCAGCCTCCCGAGTAGCTAGGATGACAGGTGTGAGCCATCAGCAACCACCATTAGTATTTATATTTTATTATAAGGCAATGTTCTAGATCCCACATACAAAATTATACTCAAAACTTTAGGTTTTTTCACCATCAGAAGTTGTTCTTTCTCAAATACCCTGGAACACTGCTGTGCTTCTGAAGAATGAAGCAGCAAATGAGGCCACCTGTTGGTTCTTGCTTCTCATGATGGCCTCAGGAGCGAATACCAATACTATCCACCAAGTCCCACAGCCCTGGGCTCTGCAGGTGGCCCAGTGGCTAATGTGTGCTGGGGTCTAGGGGCCTGAAAACTGCGTTTGTCCTTCCTCCCTAGATTCAGCTGCTTCCCCACCAGTACGGGATGTTGGTCTGAGTTCCCCAGCTCTGGTCCTCCCCGACAACTCTTCCTCTGCCCCTGGGTCAGATGCCGCCAGGGTCACCAGGACAAAGGGTAAAGTTGGATGTCAGTGAAAGGTCTCAGAGACAATGCTGCTTCCATTCACCAATGCAAATGATCCTTGGTTCTCTATAACTGCATTATCTGAATTCCAAGTGTTTTCTAAATTTGCCTGTCCCAAACTCATTGTACTTTTCTGGTTGCTTTCCCTCCCCTCTCCCCCTCTCCCCCCTCCTCCTCTTTCTCCTTCTTCTCTTCCTTGCATTCCCTATTGTACAGCTGACTTTCTTGTTGCTCTAAAAACTTATTTTGTACTAACATTTGTCTTGACTAGAGAATCTAGAATGAGTATGAACGTTGCCCACTCTGTACATTTTTTTGCTGGTTTGAACTCAAAATATGGTGCTTACCTGTCTGGCTGGTACTCTATCACTTGAGCCATGCCTCTAGCCTGGCTTTTTACCCCAATCCTCTGGTCTCAACCTCTGGAATAACTAGCATTACAGGCATGAACCCCAGGTCTGGCTCACCCTGTTGTTTTTTTTTTTCTTTTTGTCAATCCTGGGGCCCGAACTCAGGGCCTGGGCACTGTCCCAGAGCCTCTTTTGCTCAAGGCTAGCATTCTACCATTTGAGCACAGTACCGCCTCCAGCCTTTTCTGTGTATGTGGTGTTGAGGAATCAAACCCAGGGCTTCATGCATGCTAGGCAAGCACTAAGCCATGTTCCTAGCCCCCACCCTGTATTTTTAAAGTCTGCCTTTCTCAGTCCTGGTCTCTGGACTGAACTGAGTTGGTCCTCATGAATTTTGCTGTGGCTTTTCTTCTCAGAGCCGGGCTCAGAAGCTTCTCCAGCGAGGAGGGACGGTCCTGTGCTGGAGGGTGAGGCCACGGATGGCTGCTTTGCCAACAAGAACGGCCGCCATGTCATAGGCCACGTGGACGACTACAGTGCTCTAAGGCGGCAGATTGGGGAGGGCAAACTGCTGGTCCAGAAGATTCTATCCCTTCTGCTGCCGGCATGCGCCTTCCCTGGCCTTGAACCTCAGCACACAGAGGTAATCACACCTGCGCTCTTAGGCAGACTCTGTCCCTGGGCCTTTACGCCTCTGCGTTTCCCTCCTCTGCCAATTATATTTATTTCCATTATCTCCATCTGCCAATAGTTGAGGAAGTCCTTTCACCCTAGCCACGCCCCGTCCTGGGCCACACCCCGAGTTCTCCTCTGCTACCATCTAGCTGATAGGGTGTTGTCCCTCAGAACCACAGAAAGCCAGGAGCGTTGTCACCATCCTCGGCAGACACTTGATAGTATTACTAGGATGCTGTGCTGAGCACCCTGGGCATGGCTACAGCTGTGGCAGCACGTGGCTGGCGGTGGACAGATCTCCCTGCTTCTTGTGGATGGACAGGGTGGGAAGCCTAATAGCTTAGGGATTCCTTGTTCACACGGAGCAGGGCAGGACTGCCGATTTGCAAAGCTTCCTAGCCTGTTTCGCAGATACCCGTGACTGTGGGTCAGTGGCTGCAAGGGAGGCCTGGCTTCGAGGAGGCCTACCTTCAAGAGGCCCGCACGGGGCCGTGGCTCTGTCAGGCAGCATCCATGCAGCATCTGGCTTGTGTCACATGGATGAGCTCCTAAGGCTCATGTGTTGGCTCCCCATATGGCAGCCAGTGCTGTTCACACGTACTAAGTCCTCCACTGCAGTGATGTTTACTAAGTCCTCCTTTGCTCTCCCTAGGTGCGGAGCAGCACAGGTGCCCGTGAGCTCCGGAGCAGCGCGGGAGCCCTGAGCCGCAGCCTGGACGAGGCAGCCGCCCTCCTCTCCATGTTTTGGAGAGCGGCATTGCCCAGCTCCCGAGGTCCTGTGCCATCGGGCAAAGTGGTAAGACGCCATGTCTGTCTGCCCTTCCCTTCCTCCCTCCCTCCCATGCCAGTACTAAGGCCTGAGTGCTGAGTGGGCCCACCTGCGCAGGGGCCCGGCTGTGGAAATTCCCCCCATGCTCGAGGTGTGGATTGGAGAGGCATTTCTGAAGGGGCAGACTCAGTCCAGAAACGGCACGAGAGGGCGGGAGATGGCAGGGCTCTGTTCTGGTTTGGTAAGAACCACGCAGGCGAGTGTGTGGCCTTCTGCTGCCCCTCGTCCCCAGGGAGCGTCCGTGGAGAGGGAGCTGCAGGACCTGCGAAGCCAGGTGTCCACGCAGGAGAAGCTCCTCCAGAGCTCGGCCGAGCGCCTGCAGGCCGCCAGCCGGCAGAGGGAGGCCATGGAGCACTTCATCGTCAGCCAGCGTGGGTCCCCCGAGCCGGGCCCCCCGACATCCTACTGTGCAGCACAGAGGCCGCGGATGGGGGGCTGGGGAGGGAGACCCTTGCAACACACCCAACCCCTGTGTCACCAGTAAGGGAACGGGCCAGCCACCCAGAGACTCCCAGCCAGGTGCCGGTGGCTCACGCCTGTCATCCTAGCTACTTAGGAGGCTGAGTGAGATCTGAGGAATAGGGTTCAAAGCCAGCCTGGGCAGGAAAGTCCATGAGCCTCTCATCTCCAATAAACCACCAAAAGGCTGTCAATGGTGCCATGGCTCAAAAGTGGTAGAGCATTAGCTGTGAACACAAAAGGGACAGTGCCCGCACCCTGAGTTCAAGCCCCATGAGAGAGAGAGAGAGACAGAGAGACAAAGAGAGAGACAGAGACAAAGAGAGAGACAGAGTGATAGACAGAGACAGATCCTCAAACTGAGGGGTCAGAAGGCAATGCCTGAGAATGCATCTGCAAAGCGAGTAGGGTGCAGCTGGTAACTTGTGCTCTGTGGGATGTTTTGTTGTTTCAGTGACAAGGACACATGACGTTTTGAAGAAAGCAAGGACAAATTTGGAGGTAGGGAAGCCACTAGACGCAGGCCACAGTGCCTGTCTCCACCCCAGGACCACCTGCCATTGGTCTGTGGGTGACCTGGGCATACTTGGCTCTTCCGAGGGGTTTCTACACCCTGCACTGGGTCTCTGTTCCTCAAGGGGCCTCTTCCTGTCTTCCTTTCCATTACTCTGCTGTCTTCATCCCTTTCTCATCCTCATCTTCATCCTCCCTCCATTCCCACACCTCCTCCTTTACATCACATGAGAGTCTGGGGAAACGCAGTTCAGTTGGTTCTCACACTCGGAGTCTGCGAACGTCAGGCAGGCTGCAGATGGTGTGCAGGCTGGAGCGGCCTGTACACTGCTGTGAAACGCCAGATGCAAACTTCTAAATTGGCTTTCCTGTGCCCTGTGAGATTGAGAACTGTAATTTGACTTTTATCTTTTCCTCTAAACAACACTATGAAAGCAGGCACCAGTGGCTCACGCCTGTCATCCTAGCTACTCAGGAAGCTGAGCTCTGAGGGTCAAGGTTCAAGCCAGTCTGGACAAAAAAGTCTGAGACTTTTTATCTCCATTATCCAGTACAAAGCTGGATGTGGAGCTGTAGCTCAAGCAGGTAGTGTCTAAGACTTCAGCCAAAAAGCTAAGGGAGCACTTAGGCCCTGAGTTCAAACCCTAGTACTACTCACACACATAAACAAAGAATACCATGATCCACTGGCTCTCTGTGATCTAAAAGAAAATTAGATAATAAACACTGAACTAGAAAGGGAGAGGTTTTTAAAACAGACCAGACATTCTCTGCATTTATTTAAAATGCCATGGCCTAAAAATTCCCTAGGAAAAACTGGCTTAAAACAGGTTTAAAGACCAGAAGCTAAACCTTTAACCTTGCGTTTTCAGTGGCAGAGTAAGCAGCGTGCTGGCAGCTCACACCTGCCATCCTGGCTGCTCAGGAAGCTGAGATCTGAGGATCACCAGCCAAGGTTGAAAAGTTTGTGAGACTCTTATCTCCAATTAACCAGCAAAAAGCTGGAAGTGGAAGTGTGGCTCGGATGACAGAGGTAGTTAAGAAGCTAGGGGAGTGTGAGGGCATACCCAGCATAGTAATAACGGATGTCAGAGTCGTTGAGCATTTTCCTACAAATGTGACCTACAGTGTAACCTGACCTTGTGCTGAGCCCGGTGGGCAATGGGTTAGGTCGTGATTGAACTCACTCGTGGTATTTCTTTTCTTTCTAATCCTTTGGTTTTTTCTTTGGTGATCCCTTTCTCTCGAGCTGAGAGCACCTCACTCACAAGATTACCTCTGTGCAGCCTTTCTCCTGCCCCTGCTAAGGTAACTCAGCAGTCCCAGGCCCAGCCCTCCAGTGTGCCAGCCTCCCCTCTGCCTCCCCTCTGCCTCGGCTCGCTACAGGCTGTGGCTGACAGGATGCGTGGCTTTGGCTGGCCTTGTCTCGGATGATCTGAGAGCCCGGCTGGCTGGGCTGCTCCTCACCATAGCGGGGGCCTCTCTCCCTGCACTGGCTGCCCTGTGTGCACCGTTCTCGCTCAGCATTTCTCCTCTTGGGAGGATGGAAAAGGCCTTGTTTATTTCTTTATTTTTTTTTTCTTTCTGGCTCCAATTTCCTGGAGCATGGGCTGTCTCCCCCTGCCCCCCAAGGAAATATTAGGGTCCCACCCTGGAGGGTGGAATGGCTTGAGCTATAGGAATCTGAACACACAGAGGCTTTTGCCTCTCCAGGGGGGCTCTGTGTCTCGTCTAGATCCAGCAAATCCCCAGCTCATCCCCATAACCAGCTTCCAGTGCTGCTCTAACCCCAGCCGCAGGCACTGCCAGCTGGGAGTTAAGTATGACTTATGTTTGCCCGCAGGTGAAATCCTTCGGGGTTCTGCTGTGCACGCCAGCCCTGTGACCCTCGCCTTCCAGGACCTGTGAACCCTTGCCCTCCAGGAGCCAGCCGGGAAGTGAAGCCAGCCAGCTGGCCTGCACATGGCTGCCAGAGCTGGAAGCCGGGGCCCACGCCCATCCGGGGCAGCTCCCCATGTGCTGAAGGGGTGACCCCACTCTCTCCAAAGTGTGGGAGAGGCAGAGCCAGCAAGGCGTTGAGGACTTCATGGCAGTGACAGAATACCATCGCCACAGTCTGCACACCCAGGACTAAGCAGGGCCCACGCAGATGGCGCCGAGGACGTTGCAGTGCTGCTCTTGAGAGTGCAGGCCCCACGCCGTCAGCTGTACACACTCCACACACTCAGGGGAAATAGGGCCCTGCCTCCTACAGAGGGGCACAAGACCCCGACAGGGGAGGCCCCAGGGCAGCAATAGGGGCACACTGCTGAGCCCACAGATCTGCACCTGACCTTGGCAGCACCCGGGGCCTCCATGGCCACGCGGGGACCCTGGGGATTTCCATGCAGCCCCCTCATGTTTAGCCGAGCACCTTCTGTTTTCTTCATACAACCTCCAAATAGGCAACCCCAGTTTGGCATCCTAACTTCCCGTGCAGAAATGGAGGCTGGTGCCACACCAAGCTTTTCGAATGTCTGGCACACGGCAGACAAACAGCAGACGTTCAGCAGACCGGGCGCCCAGGGAAGGAGGCCGGCCAGGCCAGTGCCGCCTCGCTGGTGCTTAGCGTGTGTGGGCATGTGTGTATAAATGTATGATAGACATTGCTAGATATGGCTGCAGCCTTGAAATTGAAGCCAACACGCAGACCCACAAATGAGAGGAAATAAAGTTCCTTTTAGTGGCTATTAAAATGTGTACAAAGAAATCGTTGTTCTGTCTGTGCTTTGTTTCCCATCTCAACACCAGGCTCTAGAACCAGTGTGCAAGAATAGTGAAGAGAAATTGTCACTAAGAAACCTTGAGCAGGGCGCAGTGGATGACATCTCTAATCCTAGCTACTCAGGAGGCTGAGATCTGAGGATCACGGTTCAATGCCAGCCCTGGCTGCAAAATCCATGAGACTTTTATCACCGTTTAGCCAACAAAACTCCAGAAGTGGTGTTGTGACTCATATAGCAGAGTACCAGCCTTGAATGAAAATGCCACTAAGTGTGTGAGTTCAAACCCCAATATGGGCACAAAACAAAAAAATAAAAGAAACCTTGAGTCTGAGTTTAAAAGATTACAAAGATGCTTTGCCACTCCTTTGCCCCAGTCCAAAAACATGGAGTGATTCCTAAACCTGCAGGTCTTGGGATGGGCTGTGGGGTGGCAGGCACCAGCTCCTGGGAAGTGATTGCAAGAGGCTTTGTCAGCCCGGGCACCTTTTACGTAAGCTACATAAGCCTCCCCATAGGTGGCTGCAAACCACAGAGTAAAGCACATTGCTGTAGATCACTGAATCAAAACAACAGTTACAAAAAGATGTGTCAGGTACATAACCACTGAAATAAAAATCTCAAACTATTCTGTGAAAAACATTCTTAGCTACGTCTTCAACCTTTTCTATTAACCTCACACTTGGATCCTCTACCTCCACTCCTTTTCTGTCCAGACTGGCTTCAAACCTCGATCCTCCAGATCAAATAGCTAGTATAGGTATGAGCCCCTGGCAGCCTGCCTATAATCAATTTTTACATATAATAATATATACTATCTAGGAGGGGGTCCAGCAGCGGTCCTCAATCCTGAATGTACACACAAATCATATGGGTACACATGCATGCACACGCGCACACACACACACACGCAATGTGACCACATCATGGATATTTCCAGTGTCCTGGCTGGAGGCGGCACGCTGGGCGGGCATGGTTTGTGAAATCTCCTCAGTGGTGATGCAGGAAGGAATGGCAATCCTTGCTCTAAGGTGGCGGCTGGCCCGGCCCAGCTGACAGACAGCCTGGGTGAGTTTGCATTCCTGTAGCTGGTGATGGGAAATCAGGAGAACTGGCAGAGCAAAGGTCCTTGCTTATCATCCCTGCAGTTATGACTCCTCCCTTTATCCAAAGGCGTCTCTCTGGCCATCTTCACAAATTAGGTGGTTTTGTTGTTGTTGTTGTTGTTTTGGTGCCGCAACTGGGGCTTGAGCTCAGGGCTGGCTGCTTACTCATGGTTGGCACTCTACCACCCGAGCCATACCTCCACTATGGGCTTTTTGGTGGTTAATTAGAGATACGTGTCTAACAGGCTGGCTACCCACACTGACTTCAAACTGTGATCCTGGGGTCTCAGCCTCCTGGTCTGCTAGGATTGGAGGTGTGAGCAGCTAGTGCCCACCTAACAATTCTTTGGGGTCTAAGATTTTCAAGGCAGAAAGATCTCAGCAATATAATCAACAAGGCAAATGTTATTGCTGTGTAATACTTTTATTAACGTATGGACACACCCACATTTGTTTTATTATACAATTTGCAGGCATGTCAGAGGCCAGTGACAAATGACATTTGGAGAGAAAGCTTAGAATCCGTGCCTGAACGCACACTCTTTCAGGAAGTGCTGACCGAACAGAGGCGCTGAACTTCAGCATTAAAGGTCACAAAAGCACCACTTAAAAGCAGATTTTCACACAGGGTTTAATTCCTTCCTAGTGATGCCCTTCTCCTCCTCGTAGGACAAACCCAGAGCTAAAAAACCTTCTCCGACTTGCTGACACTTAAACCAGTCTCACCAGTGGGAAGAGAGTTGGCTGCGTCAACAGTGCCTCTGCTGTCTTAATTCACAGTGGGGTCAGAAAGGAGACCAGTACTAACACAATGCGCGCTGCCCGCCTGACCAGACACCACAAAATCCACAGTGCTACTGCGCACACTGAGGAACACACAAATAACTCCAAATAATACTGGAACTCGTTTCCTTTTTTTTTGGTGGGTTATGGGGCTTGAACTCAGGGCCTGGGTGCTGTCCCTGAGCAATTTTGCTCAAGGCTAGTACTCTATCACTTTGAGCCATAGCAATGCTTCTGGTTTTTTGAGTGGTTAATTGGAGATAACAGTCTCACAGGGACTTTCGTCCAGGCTTCAAACGGTGATCCTCAGATTTCAGCCTCCTAAGTAGCAAGGATTACAGGCTTGAGCCACCAGTGCCCATCTTAATTTTTTTTTTTTTTGCTTTTTAATGAAGTTTATTGACTTCAAAGCACTAGTGAGAAAAATAAACACCCCCCCCCCCGCCGCCCAAAGTATTGTCTTACAGGGACTCCATTACTCATAAATGGCTCCTCAAGACATGAGTTCTATTTTTTTATAATTAAAAAAATAATAAAAAACAAAAAACTTGGCTTTTCTCTCCAAAAGTTCATTAGGCGCAATGTGGAAATGACAGTTGTTCATTCTCCTCCAGATGTGACATTGGCACTTGGGAGACAAGAGTGAGAACCATCAAGACATCAAGGTCTCCTGCTCATGGCGGATAAGCCATGGACAGCAAGAACTTGGCTTTGAGACAAGGAAGAAGGCTGTGGGGACACATGAATCTCTGCTTCCAGGCCCGTGCTCCAAGTCACCACAATGTGAGGCTACAAGTCTCTGAGAACAGACTGCATTTCTCACGCACTCATGCATGCATGCACACACACACACACACACACACACACACACACACACACACACACACACACAATTGCATATAATTTTTAGACGAGGTCAAAAATTTCAAAGCCCTGTTTCCCCAGTTACCAGGAAGGAACTCCATCAGCGTCTGCTCCTTTCTCTCTCAGGTTAACCTAAACCTGTTGTGGCATTCGTCACAACACTTCGCTTTCCCTGCATGCACACAATACAGATAGGTTCCAAAGTTTTTAAACATCTCAGACCCAGCAGATCTACAATACTAAACTAGTTAGAAGAATGCAGTGGGCCTGGGTGGCGGATCTACCCAGACTTCTCCACCACTCCTCTTCTCTTCTTGCTCTCTACCATGGAAGCCTGCCTCCCATAGGGCTGGCCTCCAGCCGCGCCCAGGCCGACCTCTCACACCAGGAGACTTAGAGCATCTGATACTTGGTCTGGGATTCTGGTGAAGTCTGACCCAGTCACAGTATAGACAAAAAGGGCAGAGGGCAGGCAGAGGAGGTAAGCTCTTACAGTAAGCATGCATATCACCAGGTATGGGTGATTTTACTTCTTAAGAAGAGGATGAGCTGGGTGCCAGTAGCTCACACCTGAATCCCCTACTTGGAGGCTGAGATCTGAGATTCACAGTTGAAAGCCAGCCAAGGAAAGAGTCTTTGCCATTCTTTTATCACCAAAAAGCCAGAAGAAGAGGTGCAGAACACTAGCCTTGATCTAAAAAGCTAACAGAGAGTGTGTGGGCCCTGAGTTAAGCCCTAATACATGGCATAAAAAAGAAAGCAAAACAAAAAAAAGGATGTTTTCAGTTTGGAGTTACTTGGGCCTCCATTTTTCCTATCACTACTTCTCAAACTTCTGGTTAAGGCGAGGTATACTTTCTTAATATCACTCTTCAGCTCAGCTGCTCTTCTTTCTCCATAACCTCAATCCCTATCTGTCCATATTGTAGCCTAGCCCTCCTTAAGGGTTATGGTCTTATTTAACAGTACAATTCCATAATTTGAAAAAGAAAAACTACACGTTTTTTTTCCTTTATTCATTTCTTAAAACTCTCTTGTTCAGAAAATACACAATCCCGTAAACTAACTAGAACAAAACACAGGTCAGTTTGGGTTACCCTCTTTCCACTACTTTCCTAGTGACAGACCGGGCTTCTCAGGGCCACCCCTTGCAGGACAGAGAGGGATGGGGCAGGATGGGCTACTAGCCAGTTCCTCTCCCCCGGTGGCTCCCCCTCCTCACCAGCTGGGAGGCTCCCACTTCACATCTGGCTGAGATCACTTCAGAACCTGGAAAGCTGACCTCTCTGCACATTTCTAGATTAGGAAGATCTGAGGATAGCCAAAGCCAGACTCAACTAGAAAATTAAAAATTAGCCATCCCTGGATTAGAAGATCACCAGAGCTAGACCCAGTTCACAGAATCTGAGAAGCCTGAGCCTCAACTCTTTTTCTGCCCATACACCGCTGTGGAGTGAACGCTGTAACACACACGCATGCGTGCAAACACACACACACACACACACACACAATGTTTCAATACTGTTAACAAGCAATCTGAGAACAGCAAAATCTTCACATAGCAACAAAGGTGTTAAACCCGCCTAGGAGGCCCAATTAACTCATGGGCACCAAGTAACAAACGTCTAGTACAACCGAGCACACCAGTCCTGAGTGGTCGAGAAAGGCCCTGGCCTGGAGTTGGAAAATGGCATGCCCTTTGAGAAGAGGGCGTGGAAGACTCCACAGACAGGGCCTGGATGGTGAGAGCAGCCTTCCCTCCACCAATGAACCCCACTTACAGTCCACTGTGTTCCTGCCAAACCACCCACACACGTCAGCCTCATGCCCCAGATCAAAAGAACCCAAAGAGGACCGGCTTTCCGCATGAGCTCGGGCAAGGCCCCCATCAGTGCAGTGGGTCCTAGGAATCAAAGGGTCACTCAGCCATCAGGCGTTTGGCCTCCTTCCATGTGAATGTCTGACTGCACTCATCTGTAACACGGAAGCACTAGACACCTGGGGAAATGTTCTCTCTACACCCCAAGGCAGACTAAATACTTCTCAATCCATAAACAGAACTCAGTGCCACTACTTGACCACCAAACATGTTTAAAAAGAAGAGGCAGAGGGGAAAAAAAGTAAATGATCTAATTAACATTTAGTGCAAAGAACTATACTCTTCTTGGCTATGAATGTTGAAGACACTTTCTTACTGAATCTGGTCTATGTATCAAATGAGTCACAATGAACGGGATCTAATGCAGGTAAAGAAACACACAGGCATGGCACAAGGCCTGGAGGAGTTCCCCGGCTCCACACCCACCTGCAGAGCCGTCTGCTGGAACCGGATGCAGGCCAGGCCTCGGGGGAAGACCACGGAAAACGTGCCATGTGCCAAGCTGTGGCCTTTATTAGAATGCGGAGCCAGATCTTCCTCAGCAGAGGTGAACGGGTGGTGCAGTAAAGGGGCTAGGCTCAGGGGGAGCCCCTGGCAGTCCAGGCATCTGAGTGGGAGGTCCACACTACTTTTCAAAGGGTCATGTGCCCAGTGGGTTTGGCATTAGAGTGGTGGAGTGTGGGATCTGAAGGTAGCTATTAAAGGAGGGAGGTGAGAGGAAAAGGGGCATCTGTGTCCTGTAAAAGACCACAAGACTGCATGACACACTGTGGGGACGCAGCAGGCCCACGCCAGGGAGGCACCTGGAGCACCTGCAGCGAGCAGCTGAAGAGGAGACACGGACTCAAGTCCTCCCACACTCACCGGCGCAGTAGGAGAGCGCCCCCCAGCGCGGAAAACAAGCTTCCTGTCTACTTCTCCCTGCAGTCCCCAACCAGGTCTGGAGGGGGAGAGAATACATGGAGCTGGGCCCGGCAGCTTCCACAGCCCTCCTCTCATATGTATATATACATATATGTGGGGTTTTTTTATCTTAAAATAAATTCCATGAACTCATAAAGCTCTCATCTGCAACCAAATGCAAAAGCAGAGCCTCCTACTGGGAGGCTCTGAACACACATTATCAGCCTCAAAGCAAATCAGCCTTCCAGTCGGAGACAAGACTGGCTCAGTTACGAGGCAAGGGAGCCGGCTGGCCTGTGGGGAAGGGCAGCGTCTTCAGACGGGCTTGTACAGCAGCGTGGTGACGTACTTCTTCTTGTAGCGGTGGGTTGCGCTAAGGACCATCACGCTGTCCTGTGAGGGAAGAAGACGCAGCTCATTGGTGCATCCATTCGGGGTGGGCGGCCCTTCCTGGTCCTGAGTCCTTCCAGTTACTTACTGACTTCAACTGAGGGCTGAACTCAGGGCCTTGTACCCTATCATGTGAACCACTCCAAGGCTGTTACTACTGCGATAGGCTATCTCTTTATGCTGAGCCGGCCTGGATCTCTACCTCCTGTTCATGCTTTCTCCTGTGGCTGAGACGACAGGCACATGCCACTCTGCCCAGCCACTGGTTGGTTTTGAACTGTCATCCTCCAATCTCTTCCTAAGTACTCAGAATTACAGACTTGAACCACTGTTCCTGGGAGCACTGGCTTTTAACAGATATTAGTGTGCTTTTAGAGCCATATCAATGTCAGTTCTAATCCAGCTTCCCATGGTTTACTGTAATTGTGGCCTTGGGTAGCCAGTTTAAAGGTCCCTAAGCCTTTTCTCCTCCTTGTTATATGAAGGTTAACACCTAACATCCTGATGGTGATGAAAATCACCCTGGCCTCTGGTTAAGACCAAGGGAGGTGGCTCAGACCCACAGCACAGGACATGGGACGAAAAGGTTCCTGCCTTGCTCCCTTCCTTGCTTCCAATTCTAAGACTAGGCTTAAAACCAGCATCCACTTCTAGGAAGAACCCTTACATACAGGGTGAAGAATAGGAAATGATCCAAGCCCTGATGCAGGTCCACTTTCCATTTAGTACCAGGGATGAACTCAAAGTCTGCTCTGCCCTGGAGGGAGTGGAACCAACACCGATCTGGTGGATCAGGCACTCTCTGGACAACGGTAATTAAGACCTTACATTCAGGTCAAACCATCCAGGAGGAGCACAAGGTACCACTTTGTAGGCATTAAAGACTAGGGAGAACCAAGTAGGCCTTGACATGAAGGAGCAATTACAGGAGGCAAAATTCAGTATTGAGACGCCAAAGAATGGAAGCAAATCAAATCAAATACAGAAACCAACATATCCTTCATCCTGCGTGACCCACAACAAATGGATTGGCAATCGAATTGGAGTAGATGCAGATGATGTAGAGCAAATGTGGGGCAAGTAAAAACATAGACATGGGCAGTGAGACAAAGACTTGCACCAGGATGCATGGGAGAGAATATGGAGTCATGACAAGAGGACCCAACCACAGTCCTGGCTCTGCTACTTACTGGCAATCTGACATTCTCTGAGCCTTAGTTTCTTTATTTTTAAAACAGGGGTTAAAAATAATACCACACGAAGTCATTATGAAAATAAACTCAGTAATGTAGTCTTTAAATTTTATGTATTACCATTAAGGTAATTCTAGTCACCAAAAGAGAAACCAGGGGAAAAAAAGAAGCCACTCAGTCACTGGGCAATTCAGCTTGCCAGACACAGATACAGAGGCTGAGATTTACAAACAAGCCACCTACCCCCTGCCCTGTCCCCTCTCATCTGAGGGGCCACGAGGAAGTAGGTGGTCACTTACCTTAATGGACAGTGCATAGAGATGGTTCAGCATAACATGGTTGGGCTCAGGAAGTAAGGCAGGGTCACACTGAGAGAGAAAAAAACCATCACCACATGGGATTAAGAGCACAGACACCTGCCCACTAACTCACAAACTTCTTCCTCAGGGTTCTCTGAGGTTGTTAAGAGCTGTAGCCAAGTACTGGTGGCTCATGCCTGTAATCCTAGCTACTCAGGAGGCTGAGCTATGAAGATACTGGTTCAAAGCTAGCCCGGAGAAGCAAATCCAAGACTTTTTTTTGGGGGGGGGGGTCCAGTCGTGGGGCCTGAACTCTGGGCCTGGGCGCTGTCCCTCAGCTCTTCAGCTCAAGGCTAGCGCTCTACCACTTGAGCTGCAGTACCACTTCCGGCTTTTTTTTTCTGCTTATGTGGTGCTGAGGAATCGAACCCAGGGCCTCATGCATGCAGGGCAAGCGATCTACCACTGTGAGCCACCTTCTCAGCCCCAATCCAAGACTCTTTTATCTCCAAATAACTAACAAAAAATTGGGAAGGAGGTGTGGCTCAAGTAGTAGAGTGCCAATCTTGAGCCAAAAAGCTAAGCAAGAGCTCAAAGCCCCAAGTTCAAGTCCCAAAACCAACACAAAAACAAAGAAACAAACCAATTATTTTATATACTCCCAAACGCTAAGTATTCCTCTCTTTATCTTGTGTTGGAATAGGAGTCCTAAAATTGGTTCTAGCATAGTTTGGTTCAGATTTTATTAGGAACAGAGACAACTATAAATTTTTATATGGAGGCCTTAAAAAAGCCACAATTCAGCCTTGCAAAAAAGAAACCTATAATGTTATTGATATGTTTATGATTTATAATCTCAACATACCTGTGTAATAATCCCAAATTACAGGATTACTGAAATGTGAACCAAATACCCTAGAGATTTCCAAGGTGCTCTAGTAATATTCTGAGGATACTCACAGAAATATTGGTATCCTTGTTAAGAATAACTTGGAGAAGGTGAGGAGGGAGGATGGGCGGGGATTTAAATCTCTCCTCAGATCGAAACACATACATTTCTTGACCATAAGGCCCTGGGGGTGAGCTGGACAGGTCTGAAAGATATTTACAAAAATGTTGAGGCAAGTTGAAGAATTAATAATAATTCATGGAAATAATGACCAATAACACACACACTATATAAATATGCATATGGATATACGCATATATATATGCATATATAGCTTGTGACCTAGTGGGTTTACAATGTTAAGTAACAAAAGATGAGGGGTCCACAACTTTAGCTCTGACCTGAGTGCTGGTGGCTCTTGCCTGTAACCTTAGTGACTCAGGAGGCTGAGGATCACAGTTTGAAATTAGCCTGGGCAGAACAGAACAGGAAACTCCGATTTCCAATTAACCTGCAAAAAGTGGAGCTGTGGCTCAAGTGATTGAGCACTAGCCTTAAGCAAAAGAGCTAAGGGACAGTACTCAGGCCCTGAATTCAAGCCACAGTACCGGCACACGTGCGTGTGAGCGCACACACACGCACACACTCTCACACACACAAACCCCAAAACTTAAAACCCCACAAATTGGTGAAATGATTTTCTTAAAGCCACATACATGACTAGATGTCACATGAATGCAGATTAAAATCCATTATCTGTACCTCCCCTAATAAAATGGGGTGCTAATGGGTTTTAAGCCAAACACAGAATTTCAATTGCATTCAGAATTATGTTTCGTTTTTCAACTTACTACCAAGGAGTCATTAATGTATAAAACTGATCTCTCCAACTGACAACAGAAATTTCTGGAGACTTAGTAGACAGCCAGGCAGAACTAGCATCTGCTGGGTGACACCACAGACTGGTAATGAGCAAATGCTAACAAAACCTGAGACATTACTAAATAGCTTACAAACAACAGGTAATAGGCTATGGGTAGGCTCTGAAAGACAAAACAGAAAGGAGGGCTGGGAAGGTGGCTCAGTGGTAGAGTGCTTGCCTTGCATGCCTGAGGCCCTGGGTTCGATTCCTCAGCACCACATAAGCAAAAAGAAAAAATCCAGAAGTGGCGCTGTGGCTCAAGTGGTTGGGTGCTAGCCTTGAGCTGAAGAACTGAGGGACAGCACCCAGGCCCAGAGTTCAGGCCCCACAACCTGACCCAAAACCAACAACAACAACAACAAAAACAGAAAGGAAAGAGCATGACCTGTAATAAAGGGGAGGGACATACAATAGCTGAGACCTGTGTGATAGTTCTCTCTGGTGTATGTATAAATACAAGAATCAGAAGTTTCCCTCAAAGAATGGAAATATAAAACCAAACAAGAACATCTTCTGGGAAAGAAATATGCATTACAAAAGACACAGTAAGAAATCAAATGCCACAAAAGTACCTCGACAAGCCGTCTCAGAGCTTTCCATAGAATCTAGCTTTAAGGCATCAAACACTTCGAAATCAGATTTCTTCACATGTATCAAATTATTAATCGTACCAAGCTGGCTGGTAATCACAGGCTGAAACAGTGAATAAAAAATGAATAAATTATGGATTTGAAAATCCATCTCTTCTAACCCATTCTCCCCTGTTTCTACTAAAAGTTAAAAGACAATCAGGAGGGAAAGTAGGAGAAAACGAGGGGGAGGGTAACAATGTTTGACAAGAAATGGATTTATTGTCTTGTTTATGTGACTGTAACCCCTCTGTACATCACCTTTATGATAAAAACAAATAGTAGTCAGTACTCCCATCTTTTATCAAGAGAGGAAATCCTCTAAGCTAGGCACCAGTAGTTCACACCTGTAATCCTACTATACTCAGAAGGCTGAGATCCAGAGGATTAAGATTGGAGACAGCCCAGACAGAAAAGCTCTATCTCCAATTAACCAGCAAAAAGACAGACTGAAGATGTGGCTCAAGTGGTAGAGTGCCAACCAGGCAAGGAAGCCTACAAAGTGAAAGGCTCAAGTCCAAACCTTGGTACAGGTGAGAGAGACAGACAGACAAGACAGACAAAGGAAGAGAAAGAGAGTTGGGTGGGGGAGATCCTCTAGCACAGAAGAGCTGTTACCCATCCATCTCCACAGCAAGAGCAGCTGAAAGGAGGCTGCTGCATCAGTGGCTCCCAGGAGATCAAGACCTTACCTCTGCTGGATCATGAACCCACTGTCCATCCACAAAGAACTTGTACTGGTGCTCCCCCTCGGGGAGGTCCAGGATGGCAACAAAGTCATTATGGCTACAGGAGAAAGAAGAATGTCAGCAGGCCAGGTTCCTTTTAGAAAACAGACAGAAAACACATATGGTGATCACAGTGCAGTGCCAATGGCCTGCCCCACTTCTAAACCACTGCAGCCCTTGTGCACAAAACAGCATAGAGACCTGGGGCTCCTTTCTGCATCACCTTCAACATGTATTCGCCAACCTCTCCCCAAAACTTGACTTAACCAGCTTGCAATTCCCCCAGAGAGTCACCTTGGCACAACTCTTTTGTTCCAGTAGATTTCTCACAGGTACAAATAAGATGGCAGGTGGAGTCACAGGGAAGGGGGATAGCTGAAGTGGCAGAGCTGCCTGGCAAGTGTGAGGCCCTGGGTTCAACTCCCACTACCACAAAATCAATGCATAAATGAACATAGGTACTATAAGGCACTACAGAAGGGTGAGCCTCTTCTGTCCTGTGACCTATTATTTAACAACCAATTAAATAATTCATTATTGCTTTACAAGACATTAAAGACTTCACCATGTGTGAAGTCAGAAGTACAAAAATCAGCAGAGTGCCAGTGAATGACGCTTGTGATCCTAGCTGCTCAGAAGGCTGAGATCTGAGGATTCTGGTTTGAAGCCAACCAGACCAGAAAAGTCTGTGAGATTCTTATCTCCAATTACCCAGTAAAAAGCCAGAAATTGAGGTGCAGCTTAAGTGGTAGAATGCCAGTTGTGAGCAGAAAAAAGCTAAGGAACACTGTCCAGGCCCTGAGTTCAGGTGCCAGTATAAGCACGTGCGCGCACACGCGTGTGCGCGCACGTGCAACACACACACGCACGCGCGCACACACACACACACACACATACAATACAGAAATCAGAGCAACAGAGCCCTGCCAGTTCAAACAGCCTCCTCCACACTGCAGAACACACCTGCAAAGAATGTCCCCCACTGGACCACTACAAATTCCCCTGAGGCCTGGTGTCTCTTCTAAGGAAGGGAATCAGGTCTCAATGTAAACTCAACCAAGACACTTCTCTTCACCTCTTAATCAGTGGGATCTTGGTGCTCCAATTGTTGAAGGACCCAGAGATGAAGACCTCTTTGCCTCCTTCAGACCAGCGGATAACCGTGGGCCGGGCCTGCTGGCTGGGCTTTACAGAGTCGTCCAAATCCTGCTGCCAGGACACAAACTCCTTGTCCCCAGGGAGCTGTAAGAAGGAGCAGGTCATCCCTAGAATAATAAGTGGTGACCCGAGAGTTCTTAAAAGGTCACTTGCTAGGAGTGCTAGGCTTCAGCGAAGGGAAGTAAGCCTTAAAAGTTTATTTTGAATTAATTCTCCAGAAAAAGAGTTAATGAAGAACCAAGGGGCCCAATGCCTTGTGCTCAAGTACGGCTCACACCACAGCCTGATCTCCACCTGCACACGTCACTCTTCCTGCCACAGCCCAGGCTCACCTGGCTTGATTACCTGTGACCCCCACCTGTCATCCTAGCTATGCAGGAGGCTGAGATCTGAGGATCAAAGTTTGAAGCCAGCCTGGGCAGACAAGTCTAGGAGACTCCTACATCCAATTAACTAGCATGAGGCCAGAATGGAGCTGTGGCTCAAGTGGTAGAGCACGAGCCATGAGCAAAAGAGTTAAGAGACAGTGCCCAAGTCTTCAGTTTAAGCCTCAGTAACAGCATTTAAAAAAAAAAGAAAGAAAACAAAGATGATTCTATTAAGTCTAAACTAAAGCAAATATAAACAACTCTCAATTACCAGTTGTAATAAAATTCATAAACTATTTTAGCTCATAGATTACATAAAAGGACATGAAAAAATTTTAAACTTATAGGCTGCAGGCATGGTTCAAGTGGTAGAGCACTTGTCTAACATGTGTGAGGTCCTGGGTTCAATCCTCAATGATGCCAGAAGAAAAACATAATAAAATTCTAGTATTAAATTCTAAGGACTGGAGATGAGGCTCAGTGATGTAGTACCTGCCCAGCACTGGTGAGGCTCTAGTTGACAGCCAACACCATAACTAACAAATATAGTGAAAACAACACCATTGATTGAATAAAATTGGGGAGTTGGTTATAAACTTCCTTGCTCATCTATGCCAAGTTTATACTAATTATTTCAGGGTGCAATTTTGGAGTTGCAAGGAGCAAAAGGTCAAAATCCAACATGCTAGCTAGTGCTGGTGGCTCATGCATATAATCCTAGCTATTGAGGAAGCTGAGATCTGAAGATCTTAGCTCAAAGACAGCCTGGGCAGGAAGTCCAGGAAACTTTTTATCTCAAATTAATCAGCAAAAAGCCAGAAATAGAAGGGTAGATCAAGTGGTAGGGCACCAGCCTTGAGTGAAAAAGCTAAGCAAGAAGAACATAAGGTCCTGAGTTTAAGTTCTAGTACTGGAACATACATACATACATACACACACTCTCCTTTAACAAAAGCAGTGCCATTACCAAATGAAGGAGATATATGGAATTATGAAAAAATAACTCCTTCACGTCTGTTTTTTTCTGTTGTTGTTGTTGGTCATGGGGCCTGAACTCTGGGCCTGAGCACTGTCCCTCAGCTCTTCAGCTGAAGGCGAGTGCTCTACCACTTGAGCCACAGTGCCGCTTCCAGTTTTCTAGTGGTTTATTGGAGATAAGAGTCTCATGGACTTTCCTGCCCAGGCTGGCTTCAGTGATTCTCAGATCTCAGCCTATGCAGCTAGGATTACAGGTGTGAGCCATCAGTTTCTGGCTTTGTTGTAACTAATTTAAAACAAAAACAAGCAACCAGCTTTTCTGAAAGCATTTGGGGGCTGGGAAGGCGGCTGGAAGTATCTGGTTCCTTGGCTATAGTTTACCAACCTAAAGGATGCTAAAGAACAGAAGTGAGCCCGGCGCTGGTGGCTCACACCGGTCATCCTAGCTACTCAAGAGGCTGGGATCAGAGGATCAAGGTTCAACTAACCACCAGAGAACTGGGAATGGAGCTATGGCTCAAAGTGGTAGAGGCTAGCCTTGAGCAGAAAAGCTTAGGAACAGCACCTAGGACCTGAGTTCAAGCCCCACGACAGACAAAAAAAAAAAAAGTAAAATAAACACTCATTTATTTATCTACTATCTATAGATGCTTTCCTGCACCAGCTGCAGAAGAGAGCAGTTGTGAAAACATTTATTATCTGGCCCTTTATAGAAAATGTATTTTAAAATCTACTTCGGACTGACTTAAACTGACAAGACAAAAGGTAAATAAGACTGTACAGAATTAACTCAAAATATGACCTAATGGCCAGGCTCACTAGTGAACTCCTATAATACCAGCATACAGGGCTGAATCTTGAATTCTAGGCCAGCATGTACTACATGGAGACCCTGCCTTAAAAAATCCAAAAGAAAAAAGATTATTACCAAACAAAATGTGGGTTAAACCCAGAACATCTGACTGAGTAAATGGAGAAATGAAGGGACTTTTACATCACATCACACAGGGGGACTGACTCAAGCCAGAGCCTTGTTTCTCTGTATTCTCAGAACAAATCTCTCTGCTTAACTGGTCACATTAGAGCTTTGTTTTGGGAATATCTATATCTATGCCTGTGTGTGTGTGTGTGTGTGTGTGTGTATTCTCAACTATATATTCTAATATACATTTGAATAATCCTCAAATTCAAATTCAGATATAGAGTTTTGGGGTCTACTTATTTAAAAAGCTTTCCAGGTAATACTACTTGAATTAAGTTGAAATAAAACAACAATACCACACACACTCAAAAACAAAAAACCTCATCTTTTGAAGCATGACCTGAAAGGTTCACAGATACTATTTCTTTACTTGGTTGGAGTGGGGGAATGGTTGGATACAGATGATAAAGATATTCATTCCTTATTTGGCCACTGTTTAAACTGGGTAGCAGGTATAGAGAATTCATTACACTGTACTCCTTTTTGCTGCAAATTTCCCATGAAGTATTTAAACATGTCTCAGTGACTCTAATACAGAAACAGAATGGACCAACAGCTAGTCCGCTAGTGCACTGAAAAAGGAGGCTATGGAGAAGGAGTATGGCTCTACTGCCACTACTTTGTAATGACAGGATTTTCAGTCTAGGATTTGAAAGTGCAAACTATTAATATGCCTAGCTCTGGAGCTAAGCCCTTCTGCTTATGACCTGACATTTCTGTGGTAGCTACTAACAGAAAGATTGTTTACTCCAAGTGGGCAGTCATCAAAACCACGGGGAAACCAATAGGAAATCAAATTACAGTTTGAAGATGTGGAAATTAGGAGTCTGGATGACATCTTAGGAGGTACCTGAACCTGTTTTCTTATTTCACACAGGGCCAGATGGAGGTGAAGGAAAGAATTAGCTAAAATAGATCTGATTCACACACTGAGCAATCTATCTTTTATTCAGGATACCAATGACTGTGTTAACAGGCTGACTGTACTTAAATCCTGAGTCACTGATGTAGGAATAGGGCAAAACCACCACAAGGCCTTCTCATCCTGAGAGAGCTTTGAGGAAATAAGTTCAGATGATGAGGAAGAAATCCTGAGCTGAGAGAGGAAGAGAAACAAATAAACAAAGAAATGGAAAAGAACCTCCAAGTGATGATGATATTCTCAACTGGGATTCAAATAACAGAGGATCCAAATTACCAAGTGGCACATAAAGGTATTTTGTCAGTAGCTTATGCCTAAAATCCTACTCAGGAAGCTGAGACAGTGGTTTGAAGCCAGGCCAGAAAATGGAGCTCAAGTGGTATAGAATCAGCCTTGAGTGAAAAAGCTCAGGGACAACACCCAGGCTCTGAGTATGTACACACACACACACACACAAACACACACACACTTTTGTCTAAAGCCCAGTTTAGCAGGGAAGTGATCCAATTAAGAAATAATCCAACACATTCCAATCAACCCTACTTCTCTATTCTACCCCAGACTATCTTAGGAAGTAAATATATCGAATATTGAAAGTGTAACTCGTTTTAACTGTGTCTAGAAACTGTAGCACAGAGCTAGCAGCTCAAGTCTGAAATCCTGGCTACTCAGGAGGCTGAGATCTGAAGATCATGGTATGAAGCCAGTCTGGGCAGACAAGTCCCATGAGATTCTTGTGTCCAATTAAGTAAGAAGAAGACAAAAATGGAGCTGTGGCTCAAGTGGTAAGGCACCAGGCTGTGCAAAAACAAACAAACAAACAAAAACAAGCAAGAGGACAAGGCCCTGAGTTCAGGCCCCAATATTGGCACAAACTGTAACACAGTAGCCACACTGCTGTAGGTCCATTTGCCTTTCCTTTAGTGCAAATGCAAGTTGCCTCTGGTCAGGGCAGCTGTGGGGTTCTCCTACCCATAAGGCAACGTCCTGAGCTCCTGGGATCACTGCTTTTGCACGCTTTTGCACTCGCGATGTGGCTAGTGTGAAAGGCTGGCTAGGACTCAGTGCGTGGGAGGCATCAACCAAATGACCGATCCTTTTCATTGATTCCCCTCCTCCCCCCCCCCCCGCAAAAACCAACAAACCACACAAGTAGTGGCTGCTTATAGCCACATCAAAGGGGAGGCGGACCCTAAGTGCAGAGCTATTAGAAGATAATAAAACACAGAGACACACACAGAATGCAGGGCACGCCCGAGGCTCACGCAGGAAATCCTACTCAGGAGGCCCGGATCCGAGGATCGCCGCGAGAAGGAAAATTTGGAAGACTTCCATCTCCAATTCACCACCAAAAAAAAAAAAAAAAAGCCAGAAGTGGAGCTGTGTGTGGCTCAAGTGATGGTGCGCCAGCCTTGGGTGAAAAGCTGAGGGACAGCGCCCAGGTTCTGAGTTCAAGACCCAGTCCCGACAGGCACGGGAGCGCACAGACACGCGCACGCGCGCACACACATGCACACCCACCCACGCAGGCACACACGCGTACAAACACACACTCGCATCATGACACACCGAAAAAGTAGTGTATTCCGACACCGTAAGGCAAAGGTGAGAAATGCAGCCGGGGTCCATGTCCCGCCGGCAAACCCGGCCACCCCGCAAGGGACGGGCTGGGAGCGGGGGACCCGGGGCCGGGGCCGCGTGCGGGGCGCGGGGACCTTACCCTGGCGTCGGGCAGGCTGAAGACGCTGGGGTCGTCCGTGCTCCCCACCATGATCCTGTGCTCCCGGCCGGGCCCC